TCCCTAGACTCTCTTCGCGCTCCTCTCCTCTTAAACATCATCTTCCGCCTCCCAAACCACTCTTTCATCCCTCTTTCCTTCCGTCCCCCATTCTCTTTCCTATACACAAACCACCAAAAACAGAATAAAGCACCCGCGATCATACCCACAAACAATAATACAACGACAATTATGACCGTGGTGGTTTGCGGACAGTGCAGGTGTTGGAGGTTCCAGTTGCATACCTTCGGTGCTGTAGTCGTGGAGTTAGAAGGAGGGGAGGAAATGGGTCTAGGTGTAGCCGTGGATGTAGGTTTAGCGTCCTGGGAACTCGGGAATACAGTGACAGTCCATTGGGTTGTCGTTGCTGTGATAGTAGGTCGTGAGGTAACCCATTGGATGATGCCCGGGAAGATTACGATGAATTCAGTAACAACGGGTTGTTCTTCGCTCGTAGTGGTCGGTGTGAAACTAGGTCCGACTCGTGTTATAGTTGCGAGATAGGGTGCGGAGATGATATCATGGAAGGCTGTTGTGAGTGGGGGGAGGGAGGTTAGTAGGAGGGTTAATAATGAAATGGCTTTCATGATGGGGCTGGGTGGTAGCTAACGTACCTTCTGGCTGATTCGCACTTTCGACGATGGTCGGATTTTGCGTTGGCAGAAATGTTTGAGGGCTCGTTAAGTGGGAAGGTCTATAAGACTACTGTTGTTTCATTGTTCCGTTCAGACAGAACAAGAAGAAAATTCCATAGTACATGATGGAAGGTCAGCAGAATGTGGACAAAGAAAGAACAAAGAACTTTCTTTTCTGTTTAACTGACAATCGCATTATTGAACATATAAAATCTTGCACTCTTCAAATACGTAGACCACAATTCCACTCCACAGCTAGTACTTCACAGAGACTCCAGTGCAACATCAACAGCAAATTCTTCACATTCAACTCCACTCACCATGAGCACCCCATTGATTTCGAGTAAAGCCAATCTCCCTTTTCCCAAGATGGTCACAGTTTCAATCCCTCCAACAACAAGGACGACCATCATGCCTACTACATCCTGGATCAAAGTCTCTTACACAGCCACGGCAAGCCCAACCCCAACCGCATTTAGATCAACGATCATTAAGGAAAGCTGCGATACTAGCACCTTCGCGGGTCAAGTATCCTGCCGCACCGAAGCGGGAATTCTCGCCGTGTTGTTCATCTTGCTCTTCTTATTCCTTCTCGGCATCATAGTGTTATTCATCTTTCTCCGATGGCAACGACTCCGCAGAGAATCTCTCGGAGTTAACGATGGTGGTGAGAATGGTACTGCACAATCTGAGTCTTTTGGCATGCGAGCATTTGATAGAGCAAGGGGGTTGTTGACACAACGGCCACCCACAGCGGTGCTACCATCGGATTCAGAGAGATCTTCTGCGATTTCTCTACTACGGTCTCGTTCTCGGAGCTCTTCTACGAACTCGGCTGTGGTGGGGATTAAATTAGTGGTGAGACGGGGAAGTGAACTGCCTTTGCCTGCATTCCCTTTCCATGAACCGCAATCCTCTGAATCTTCAGGATCGTCTTCTCCTGAGGCAGCTTTCCCTGAAACGGCATTTCCTCTGTTACGAGACGGGCCTGAGAGAAACCTACAGCTTGTTGATGAGGAGGGGTATGGTTCTCAAGAAGGGGAGTTTGAGCATGTGGATGATTCGAGGAGCGGATCTCCAGAGAAAAGGGAAGTTTCTGGTAGGAATTCAGTGGGTGATGATGTATTCAAAGTGTCTGGTGAGAAGACTAAGAAGAGTAAGATCAAGATGATTCATGAAGTTCATCATCTTAGTTCAATTGAATCCGAGGTTGAATTCGATCTCGGTAGTCGTACTTCTCGGGCTAATTTTGAGGGCGAGACTACAAGTGACTCTAGTAATAGCTTGCCAGGGCGTGGTCCAAACCCATACAGCTTCCCTGGTTCTGACACCAAACTCGCAGACGACGAAGGTAACCGCCACGGGCTTTCCCCAAAATCCATCAGAGACACAAATAGCGTCTGCAGTTTCCCTTGCTCTCACGAGGAGCTTGCTCAAGAAGAGTACCACATCCAGTATCCTTCCGAAACCGGCGTGAGAGAAACGAGTAGCGTTTACAGCGTTCCTAGTCTACCTTCCGAACACGCAGAAGATGAATCTAACATTCGAAGCCAGGAGGAAGAAGATGTTAGTACCTCGGAACAACCAAGTATCACAGAAGTGGCATCCATGCGAGGAAGTCCTCATTCCAGTACATCTTCATCTACAACATCACTTCCAAAATCAGAAGATGAGTTTGTAGTTATTGCTTTGGACGAGAGTGGGGGAAAGGTAAGTGTGCCTCATGGTGAAGATACAGTAATTCTTCAGAATAAGAAGATGGGGCCCCGAGAGGGTCATGAGGCTTAGAAAAAGTAGACATTGCCCCTTGAAAGTAAGGGTATCTCCATATTTCACTAGACTGAATGAATAAATTCTTGAACCGTGCAACTTTCTTTAAATAATATGTGTCTTTGGAACAATACGACTATTTTTGATAACTCTAATTAAAGACATTGAGTACCCTCACGGAGGACAAAATAAGTGTCAGTCACCTGCGCAGTAAACTTGGGCCAAACAAGTCGACTTCGAACAGAGCGTAATAAGTCTTATTTACTTAAAATAATAGACGAAATGGAACATATTGTTCTAAATGAGTCCACTAAATAACGATATTTCGCCAACTTAATCGAAGAAATACCGTGTTTTGACTGCCATTTATTCTGTCCACCGCGAGGTACCGTGATTGTAAAAGTGTGGTTTTGGAACTTGCAATACTTGCAGATAAATTTGCTTGTCTCGTAATATATCAGTAAATTGAATAAAATACGTGTAAGGCAGTGACGAAATGGTAGTAGTGCAGTTAGGAAGAAGTGTTGGGGTAACAACCGTCGACCATCAGCAGCGTTCCACGAGCCAACTTCTACCGCTTTGGTACCGCAAAAGAGCGAATGTGTGTTTCTACGTAGATGGACTTCTGTCGTGTGGCAAAGCAATAATCATAGCGATTATAGAACGTTGTGACTAGCTAGTCGAAATCTAAATCAAAATGAGTCATATCAACGCTTCTCCCCGGCTTTGAGAAGCTGATAGGCAAATTCCGTCTTCAGCACACAAGCAGCGTGAGAAGATCTTGGCTCTAAACGCGTTCGATATGAACTCGTTGGCGAATAGTGGAAATTTTCTCACGACAAAATCCCACGAGACCGGACAACTACGCTGCATTGATCCGTTTGTCATGATGGCGAGGAATGGAATGATTGGGATATATTTTTGGGATGGTAGACAAGGTGATGTGATAGTAATCATCAACGATGGAAAGCTTTCTCATTAGACTGGCCCACTCTTTGGATATCAATGGTGGTGAATGAAATGTGAAAACCTGGGTGAGTGTTATGTGATCCGGCGTCAGGGGCAGGGTAGACGACAAGAGCAATGCACTGATGGAGCTTTGGATGACTTCTCGATGTTTGATGCAACATTTCATTGTTGACATCCTGAACCCACTCGGTCCGAAGGATAACACATAGCAGAAGTATCCAAATGCTTAATTTTTGCTTTCATTGTTTGCGTACTGCTTGAGATATCCGAATCGATTCGAGAAAGCCACACATAAGACTTCCCAGTTGTTTGACCTCTCAGCCTCAGGGTAGAATGTGTCGCCAATTCCTATTCAAATAGGCTCCCACGACAGAAAATATGTACCAGAACGGCCTGCAGCAACAGATAAATAATGTTTATCAGCAAATTCTACAGGGTCATGAAGAGCCTTTGGCCACAAGTCTTTTCCGCCGGGGAACAAGTCCGCCCAGCAAACTCTTGGGTCGGGAAAGTTTGTTTGTAGAAATGTACCCTTAATTTCTGCATCGTAACCATCCACAGAGTCAAATTTGCCGTGGTTAGTAAACATAAACACAATATAGTATCGTCGACCATTAGCTTCGAGATCATGATACAGGTCGTGTTGCCCAGGAGCCCTGATTAGCTCACCTGGCTTTAGCCGGTTCACTGTATTGTAATCATCATACTTTAGATCCGATGTATCTATCAAAAAGCTGTACGCGGCCGGTATGCACGAAGGATACTGCTCCCATTGTGGCCGTGGAATTCCATCGATGAGCCAGTAAAAATGTTCAGCTCCATACATAGCAGTTAACCGATTGGCAGACTCGAAAGCGCTTATGTTGCAAATATCAACACCACCCTCGGTTGCCCACACTGGATTCCATTCGATTCCGGCCCGTTTAAAGTTTGGAATCATTGAAGGCTGCTTCACCACATCCTCTGTATTAAGCTGGAAGAAGCTGTGTTTCATTGTTGTTGTGAGATGCCCGGAAGTAGTATGTAGCCTCAGAATAACAAGATCTGTGTCATCGAATGAGCCAGGAACTAGCTCCTCGGCTTCCATTTGCTTTTCCGGCGGTTCTGAGGTCTGATATTGTTCTTTCCAAACGCTTAAATGACGCGGTCTACACATAAGTCCCTCGCCCCGGAAGAGCCTCCACTGCTCTCCTGGGATTTCTCTTTCCAGCCAGCGAAAAGCAGTCCATCGTGAAGATTTACATGTCGAAAGTAGACTGCTAATCTGGGTGTACGTTGATAGTTGTCGACAGCGACCTACAGCAGCCACTTCATCCGAGAAGTCTTGGATAATATCCAACTCTTTTGGTCCTGGTCCAGCTCGCCCCCAGACGGAGGGCACAATTGGATACAAATGATCGAAAAATGGCGTAGAAGGATCGCCTCTTTCGACTTTGTCACGGACGTAGCACCAATATTCCCAGTCATCAACAACTACTGGGGAAGGGCCCCGGATGCTTATACTATCCCGCTCCTTGTCGTCAAAATGGTGTTTGACTCTAGCGAGGGTTCTGAGAATAGCTGCTGTAGAACGAGGGAATCCTTCTACATCAATCCAGTGGATACCGCCGTGACTTGGAATAACAAGTTTCCATATAGACTCTTGTAGTTCCAATGGGAGTTCGTCGAAGATTGCCATGTAATGGCAATAGTCAAGTGGAAATGGTGGATTAGATTCTGTGTTTTAGGAAACTCCTCCAGAAAACAAGGCGATGCTAGCCTGTCCCGATTATATTGGTTTGGGGGATTCTGAAAGTCGAAGCTCCGTGGAAAGAGAAAGCGGTCAGCGGAGTTGATGTGTTGGCGGACTTGTTGTGTTTATTTGAACTTCTCATACGGGGCTGACAGGAACACATCTGTGAGGGCAAGTGGGGCGGTGCTGTTGGTGCAATCCCTCGAGGCTCGGTTATTTAAGGACCATTGGCCAGAACCCAACTTACCAACATCTTGGTATGCCCGCCTGACTAGAACCGGTTGGTGGTATAAGAATGACTTGATTTGCCACATTTAAATCGCATGTGTTTTCGGGGGCGAAAATGGAGTTGCTTGCCTTTTCGTTCCCCGGTTCAATTTCGTTAATTTACGGCCACCCGAGTCACAAACAGTCATGCTTATAAAGAAATATAATGGGTGACTTGTTAGTATCTTTAGTACCTAATACTTTTGAGATATATTTGTAATTTTGCCAAAAGACTCTGGGGATATTATTAGAACAAGGAGAGTATGTAGAGTTCTATAAGTCGTGAGATATTTAAACTTAAAACTAAGCTAAACAAACACTAAAATAACAGTAGGAAAACCAAATTAAATACAAAAGATTGCAAACTCCATAACCAGACTAAATCAAACGCCAAAAACTACTGTATACCCTTACATAGTTGAACTCCATTCTCCACAAATATCTAACACAATTAACCATAGTAAGACCCTCCTAGAGCTGAACCCCAGATAATCAACTTGAGCCTATTGCCTTTCCCCTTCCTTTTCCCTTCTTTCCCTTTTTCTTCTTTCCTTTTGGATTTCCCGATCCAGTTCCAGTTTCCGCTTCCTTTTCCGTCTTCTTTTCCGTTTCCTTTCCCGTTTCCTTTTCCACCTCCTTTTCCGCTTCCTTTTCTTTTTCGGTTTCCGCTCCCTTTCCCTTTCCCTTTGGATCTTTTGGTGGAGTCTTCGGACGTAAAGGAAGATCGCCTCGAGATCCACTGCCTTCTTCCCCGCCTGATTCCCCTCCGCCTTCCCCATCTGATCCGCCTCCTCCACCTCCACCTCCGCCTGGGCCAAATGGAGGAGGTGGGGGATTATCTTCAGCAGGCTCTTTTTTGCCTTCTTCACTGGCGTAGATTGTGACAGTAGTCTCAGATGCATCTTCCAGTGGCACACTATGAATTTTCGGAAGCTTGAATTTGTCCATTGTCTTTAGGATCTCAGGGTCCCAAGCAATAGCAACGACTGCCCTATCGTACTGGGCGTATTTTGACTGCATGTCCAATTCCATTCTCTTAAGGTCCTTGTTGACGAGCTCCTTAAAGGAATTTGGGCTGTTTGAAGAAGACTGAACCTTGAGTTCGACAATAAGACCTTGTGCTCTGTCTGCGTTTCCAGATTTGGGAATGAAAACGAAATCAGCTTGCTTTAATGCGTGTTCTCTCCCAGCATAGACGGCGATTTCGCGTGAAATCGTCGTGGAGTCTTGACTTCCCAAGCCTTTCCTGACGTAAGCCGCAAACTCAGCTTGAACCCAACCTTCAATACCCCCTTTCTGATCCACCATATAGGGTAATATTTCCTTTTTTGAATCAAGCCATTTTGACAAAGTTTTGGTGAGACTGAAACGGGTAACTGTATTTTCTCGTCCTGGTGCGTTGGGTGGGCTTCCACCGCCCCCACCAGGTTTGTTGTCCGGAGTTGTTGGCCTAGTTCTTTTGTCTTTCCCTTTGCCTCCTGAATCTTTGGAGTGGGCCAAAACTAGATCATGGTTGTGCGAAGGGGCAGGTGATGCCCAGCATGGAGAAAGAGCTAAAAACGCAACAAGAAGAGCCAACAAGCGGCCAATCTTGGAAGAAGTGATCATGATGGCTGATATATATGTATATAGAAGAGAAAAGTGAAGGTTTTGAAATTGAATGAATAAAAAATGAGTGACTTTGAAGCCATGACTGGAGGAAAGGAGTGTGCTATGCAGAAAAATAGAGATGATACGATGAGAAACGGAATGTAGGACAGATCGACCTTCACTTTATAAGTATTGCAGAGCATAGACACAGGAACATGAATTAAAATCCACATGCCCATTCCTATGAGGCTATGAAGCAATACAATTCCCTTTCTAATCCACATGTTGCGATGTACGAAATGTTCTGGGTGTTCGAAAAGGCCAGGCTTCCTTCTTTAGACATCCTCCGGCGATGAATGACAGCCATCATCGTCAGACAGAAGTGGGACTCAACAGGAAGCCGTTTGCATATCCTGAAATGGATCAGAAGCTATCGTTTGAGAGTTTGTTTACGTTATGTTCAACGCTATAGATATAAAAAATGCCTAGGAGTTTGATACTGCCATCAGATAAGAGAGATCAGCTGAGGGATCGTGGAGTCCTCAAAACCCTAAACAAGTTCCAACAGCTAGATAAGAGGCAGATTAGACTGTGGAGGTGCACCAACTGATTTTACAATGCTGAGGACCGATCCGCAATCCTATTGTTGTGGTGGGCTAGCAGTAGGTCCGACGGATGCGCCACTACCTGAGCAGAACAGATGTTGGCCTTTAGAATTGACCTCAGAATATTCTTAAAGTTGTTCGTCCACTTATTTGAAGATGTTGAGAACCGATCCGCAACCGTATCAGTTTTATACATTGGACTCCCAGTAGGTCCGACGGACGCGCACAATAGCCCACTACCGCCAGAATAGATGTTGGCCTTTGAGAGTGACCGCAAAACGCTTCCAAACATGTTAACCAACTCAACTAAAAATGCTAATGACCGATCCGCAATCCCACAGTTGGATGGCAGCAGATTCTATGACTGCGCACAATAGTCATTACCGCTGGAATAGATGTTGGTATTTAAAAGTGTTGCGCGGTCACTTCCAAAAACCAACACCAACACCCAACCCTAACCAATTGGCTTGAAAAGCTAACAAGGCCAACCCCTAATCCTTCACTTGCTGAAACATAGACTTGTAGGATCCGGAAGACAAAAGACAGCGAAGGTGTGACAATGCTGCATGGACCAAAATAGATGTTGGTTATTGGAAGTCCTTCGGCTAGGCATGTTGGTTTTTCGTGCGGATCCCAATGTTGGGTCCCGATACTCCGCGAGTAACAAAGCGAGGAGGAAGGAAATCCAGAACAGCAATAGGGTTACAAAAACTGGACGTCTCATGAAACGAAACATATGAAGTCGCTATTCTAACAACAGGCCGAGTCTTTTCCAGAATCGTTTGTGTATATCGAACCCTAGATGGACGGTACGGCGTACACGATTTCTCTTCAATACAGGTAGTTGCCTATAAATTATTTAGCTACAAGACTGTGGTTTTTTCATCGTCGGTGCAAAAATGGCGCGTTCAAGCAGAAGTTCTCTTTCCGAAGAAGCTTCGAAAGTGATAGTCGAGGCCTCTTTGTTTCCGGTCTTCGTTAATCGCATATAGCCAAAGAACCTCAATAATTCCAAGGGATCCACTCCGCGCCATTTGGATCAGAGTCGCTGTCCACAAGACCTTCTGAAGTTAGATCCATGCTGTTCTCTAGATCTAGATGGTCTTGGGGCAAATCTTGAATAGCAGCCTGTAATATCGCAAGGATATCTATCCTACAGAGGTCGCTTGCTAGACTAAGAGGTGTAGAGCCATAACTACTTCGATTCAAGGGATTTGCCCCCCAGGTCAGTAGCAGCTTCGTTGCGCTTGTGTGGCCATTTTCAACAGCTTCCATTAGTGGCGTCCAGTTGTCCCAGGTTTTAGCATCGACTTCACTTCCATAGTCATAGAGAAGAGAGAGAATACAAAGGGATCCTCCACGAGCTGCTCTATAGAACGGCGTCGTTCCGGATAATGAGCGTGCGTGCAGCGATGCGCCAGCAGAGAGCAGTAATACCACCGTCTCTTCACACGCATTCCCGGCAGCAAGGTGGAGTGGTGTAAGCCCTCGATCCTTTGTCGCAAGATCAACGTTTGCACCGAGTTCGAGGAGTTTCTGAATGATGGAAACACGGTTTCCGCTCGCTGCTGCGGTTAGACATGTGAAGCCGTCCTCGAAGTGAGTGTCAACATCAAGCAGCTGCGGTAGCAACATATCAACAAGAACTTGTAGACCCATCCGGATAGAGAAACAAAGAGGCGAATGGGTGAAGGCCCTTTCTAGAGGGTGCGTCGCACGAGTGACCTGTCGCCATGTTCGGAACGTGTATGGGTATTCTTCCGGATTGAGGAACCAGAGCAACCTCGGCATCAGTTCCTGTTGAAAGAGAATCGATTCAGAAGATATACCTGAATGTTTCAGGTGCATGGACCAGTTGACCGCTGCGTATTTTAGCAAAGAATGTTTGCTGGTCAGGTTCCAGATGGCAGCGGTCAACCCTTCATGAATTGGGACATTGAAATCCGAAAGAGTAAGATACTGAAGACAAATCTCAGCAAGAACTGCATGCGCATCTCCTAGATTGATCTTGAAGCCCATGGTGGGATCGCCAAGGGTTTGGGTACATAGAAAATCTTTCGCTGTCTGATGGATTAAGTAGACTTTGTGGTCCACCACAGTCACAAATAGTCCAGAGATATTTTTCACCGTAGCTTCAAATCTTGCTTCACTGTCGAGATCAAGGTCGCTATAGGACTGATGTTGGCGATCGATGGCTAGTGCAACATTCATTTCCTGTAGGGTGAGTGGTCGAGCTGCTGCAACAATTATATGGAATAACTTCCATGCCAGAGGTTTTTCATCTTCCCCAATCTTGGAGAGGATTGCTTCATAAGCTTTGTTAACTGTAGTCGGAAGATTATTGATAGTGGCCCTCAGTTTTCGACTTGTGGGATTAATTGTTCCACGAACAATATCAAGAATAAGCGTCAACCAGAGATATGTTCGATGGGTTGTTCTTAGAAGCTCTGCCTCGAGGGTTGACTGTTCCAAATGATTAAGCCTCAGTTCGGAACTGAGTTTCCTAACTCTCCGCCTGATAACGAGATCGATCTCACGACTGATTGCATTGTATTCTTGCTCGCCCTGCAGACGAATCTTGGGGTAGCTGGATGTAAGATCGCTTAAACGCCGTTCAATATCCAGATAAGGCCGGCTGGTAATCAAGAATTTGAGCTGAGAGGTGCTTTCTTCGGGTTTGGCTTTCTGATACAATTGGTTGACGGCATTGATAATCTGATAACGCCCTTCTTCTGCGCATTCATCGAGGGCGTCTAGAATACAAAAAACCTCTCCAGCCTTCGGATCAGCCACCGCTTTGATAAAAATATCCCAGAGTGTATGGAAAGATTCGGGGAGTTTGTGCCCATCCGCCTCGTAGTCTTTCATGGCATATTTGATGAGCATTGGATTCTGCGAAAAGAGCTGATGCAAGATTGCTGAAATCGCGGTAGCTATATTTTGCTGTGTTTGATTGTCGTCCTTAAAGAAGAAGTAGCACATGGCACCCGCTTGTTTGCTCTTCAAATCTTGATCTATGAGAGACTTAGATAGAACAGATTTTCCGCATCCTGGATCCGCAGAGACCCAAAGGAGACTTGAAGATTCGCTCTTTTGCCAAGTATTGAAGTTGTCATGCTGGAGAACCCATTGGCAAGTTCCTTCAAGTCGATCTGGATTCCTGTTCTTGAATTGTTCGTAGTCTGAGGTGCGCAGGGCTTGTACACACTCGCGTTCCATATCAGTCCATTTTACTTGTAAAATTAGCTATCTTAATTGAGCATATGTTGGTGACACTACCTTCATTAGATATGCTTGACCGTTTATCAATCTCTTCCTGGAGACGACGAAATGCATGTTGCTTTCCTTCGCCGTAGATGAGTGGCATGTAGACCTCGAATATTCCGAGCATTGAATATGCCCTATCTTCTTCGCGAGTGGTCTGTCGTCGCTCTGCCCAAGACATTCGCTCAGTGACACTAAAATCAGACAAAGGACTTTCTCGAAGAACTCTCCCAGGGATGCCCGTTGTTTCACATATTTGACGTTCTAGACTTGACTTATCGCCCAGAATAATCCCTTCGTTCGAGAAAAATTCAACGGACTTAGGAGCAATGAGCTCTTGCAGGGTCCAGCCGCGAGTGAACCATCTGCTTTCTCGAAACGCCGTTTCCCAAGCTAGTTCTTCGATTTTGTCATCAGGACTAGACACATCCGATAAGTAAACGTAGCATTTAGTTGCTTTGCTATACCAGCGAAACATGGAGTTGATGGACTCCGTAAGCTCGGCGCTGCTTGACTTATCAATGCAGCATGTGTCCACCCAGAAGTATTGCAAACCATCACGTTTTGCTTGTTCTCCACAAAACCGTATTTTCTCATAGCCAATCTTCTTTCTGCCTGTACCATTTCGTAGATCTTCGAAGTCGACCTCCTCTGGCCCCCATGTATGTGACAGTATGGCATATTTCTGGGGAATTTCATCGGCCAAGAACGTCGTCAGCTTAAACTCGCCATCGCTGTTATACTCCAGGAGATGCATCATTTGGGATAGGTTCGAGTGGCCCAATTGACGTAGAACGAAAGTTAAGCTTTTGGCTGAGTTAGCAGGATGTAAAGCTTACGTCGACAGCGCTGAACGGTGGCATCGGTGCAAGCCGTAGGACGCACGTAGAGCCAGCCGTCCTAATCGCTAGACTGTCTCCACGGATCTCATGGCCAGCTGTCTATACTATATCATGATGAAGTGTCGGCGCCGTTCAACTATAACTTATTGAAATGTTTTGTAGTTGTTGCGAGCAATGGTCGGGCTCGAAACCGTCCTTGTGCTCGTCGTGATAAGTGGAGCTTGTCCGCATCAAAACATGTGGCGTGCATCTATCAAAGATTTCCACGCCTTAGCCCGTAACCGCGGTGGACAACATAAAATCGGCAAAATCGCAAATCGTGGTAGAACTCGACAACCAAAAAATATCGTAAAATTAAAAGAAAAATAGCAGGATGTTCTAAGAGCACTCTGATAACCTAACAATTAGTTCAGAGGGTTTAGCTTTTGTCGTTGTCGAGATATTACTGTCGCCGCGAAATCCGGATTCCACGTTATTTTGTCCACCGCGTGGTAACCCAGAACCCACCTGCAGTTCTTCCCATGACCTCAACATCCACAGTGTTAACGTATGGTACGCTAACACTGACTTGCCCATACTACATCACATGAACTACCTTTAGACAAACTCTCTATCTCTTCTCACCCATAAAGATCAATTATCTTCTCCTTTACATACCTCCCACAGCTGAAGTTTAAGACATCGATAATGAAAATAACGATGAAGAATTTCGTCAAGGCGTGTTCTAAAGCGTGCTCTAGGACTGCGAGGAAATTTGGAGAAGCCATTCTGGGCTGGCTAGAGCGTCATATCCCAAACACTAAGCCAGAAGCAGAATCTAGGTCCGAGGACAGCAACGGGGCATATAAATATATTGCGCCAGGGACACCATTTTATGCATGGTAATCAATACAATAGGCATCAGTAGGACACATTTAAAGGAAGTTCGTGGGCTAGAATGGTATAAGGTCATCCACCTTACTTTCAGATAATACTGACAGGCTATAGGTCAAGAAGGAAACATTCTCCTTCATGGTTTCTCTGGAGTCAGAAACACGCTTACAACAGAGTCCTGTACGTTTTTCTTGAGAAAATAACAGCATCTCGTGCGATGAGAATGGATCGATTTTGAGAGCTCTCCTCTGAGCGAAAGGCATGCTAAGCTGATAGTACAGTCTCCCTGCAATCTAAGGCCTGATGTTCCTTACCACGAACCGCATCGAAAGCAACGTTCAGCCTTCGACTCACGGATTGAACTTTCTCAAGCGACTTGCTATGAAGCTCAGGGTATTTCGGAGAATGACCCCGGGGCTTCTGTGGGTTGGCGAAGGAAGAATAAAATGGGAGGCAGGTTAAGAACGTAGTGAAGATTGCTTTATTCAATCATTGGCCTCTGGTGGTGAGGGCAGGTGTTTCAATGAAAGGGCATCTGACCTGATTCAGTATCAAATTTCCATGACTTCCTTTGTCAGAACAATCTGTCGTTTTAGGAAAAGGGTTCAAACAATATTCAATGCTTATTCAGTTTCATTTCAAGATTAATACTTTAAGTCTAATACTTTCTTTTATTAGTTCTTATAGTATTCACTCCCCTCAGGAAGACACAAGCAAAATTACGCCTAGGTTCGCTTCTCTCTTTACAGCTGCGAATGTTCTCCAAGCGCATAGTGGAGATCGGATGGGGGTTGGAAATATTGTTTCCAAAGTTTAAAAAAAAATGAGAGATGGGAAATATAGGGTGTTCGCTTTTGGGTTATGGGGATAGTAACTAACACTTTCAAGTCGGGGATGGAAACGCTGGATGGTTTACCTAACGGCGGTGGGTATTGTGGTCGGAATAGTTAATTCGCGGAGGACAAAATAAGTGGCAGTCACCTGCCCGTAAATCTTAGACTAAATAACAAGTCTACTTCGAATAAAGCTTAAAAAGTCTTATTTACTTAAAATAGTTAACGAAATAGTTATAATATTCTAAGTTAATCTATTAAATTACGATATTTCGTCAACTTAGTCGAAGAACTATTTTAGTTCGATTACTACTTATTTTGTCCTCCGCGAGGTTAATTACTTTATTAACTAGTATAAGCGTTAGCTTTCCTTAGCTACTATTAGCAAAAGCGATTTTCTTAACCTCTATATATTCTCTTTATTAGATAATATTATCTTTCGATACCTAAACCTTTTACAGCACTTATCTAAACACACTACCTTAAATATCGGTCTACTAACTACGAAAAAGGTTAGACGTAAATACATTCTCGTTAGTCTAACCGTTACTCTATTTTAAGGGTCTATATATAAAATAAAATAAAGCTTTTCTAACAGTTCTAGAGAAGTTGTAGAGGTTTAACATTTAACTACTTAAGAAAAACTTGAATTACATTCAGCAATAGGTGTTTCCATAAGTGAATTTACCTTCCAGCTAACTAATTTATAGTCATAATTCGTCTTGCCATGTACGGAAGGATGTTACAATGTTCGAGACTCGTGCCGTGGAGGGAAACTACGTTAGTATTTCAAAGTGTCCGAAGTCGCTTGAGAAATTCATACAAGGCGCTTGCTTTCTACTCAAAATCTTCGTACAATTTCTTGTCCTCACCAATATCAAAACGTACCTACCAAAAGGTATATATGCCACGGCCTCACCCTCCCTCCCTCTAATGCCATAACCGCAAAGCTCATCAAACCGTACGTGCCGCCTCCAACCACCAACAACCGAGCATCAAACCTCGCGCCTCCCACAACCACCGACAGACAATAATGCAGCAAACCCTGTAATCTAATCCTAAACCAACGTACAGTACCACGGTTTGCCGCATACAGGAAAATGGTTGTGCATGACGCCACAACCGCTTTGCCGCAGCACAAGACGTTGGGACTACACAACTTTGAGGATCAGATTGGCTTTGGGGGCGAGTATGGAAACTTCCATCAGCTTTAAGAGGAAGGTTCTCTCGTTGACAAGCATGACTTCCATCAGACGACTTCTTTGCGCTGAATGAGATTTGTGTCGAGTCGGGAATCTCTTTTTGAAAGTCTAAACAAATAGAGAAGTTTTGCAGCTTTTGGGATTATAATTGCATGAGTACGAGTCATGAAGTAGTCGTTATTATTGAAATAAGAGGTTTTGCAGCTTTTGGGATTCGGTTAGTATTATAGTGTATAAGAGAGTGTTTCGACCCGAATAACTTCCGAATTAGGACGATTAGATTTAATCCCAAATAAATCCCATGGGACTATATAGTCCCAAACGCGATTTTGGGATTATAAAGTTCTATCGGAGCTCCGAAAGAGAGAAAGCATAAATTACATGAAACTATAGCGCTAAACCATAATAGGAAGTTAAACGGTAATCCCAAAATCTGCAAAACCTCTCTAATTCCTCATCTCGCGACCTCGCGATTAAAGTTGCAAATTATTCCCTTGAAACCGACCCTAGCACAGGACATGCGGGGATGATTTGATGTGCGACATGGTTTGTCCATGGTCGCGAGATGCGAGATTTCGGATGATGGGTTTGGTGGAGTTGTGAGAGTTATGCGAGGATGAGATGAACTGTTGTTCTAGGGCAAGATCATCGGAGAAACAAACCCTATTTTCGTTCCGACAGCTGGAGAGCGCAATAACTTCCAAGAAGTGAAGGTCTCACCAAGCGCCAGCACACACTCAGAATCACATCACAAACCCTCCGTACTGGTTGGTGATCAACCGCTTAGATCGGAAGCTCAAACGTTCGAGTGTATGTAATCGGACATAAACCACGGGACGGTTGGTGAGGGACATTTGTCGACTGGCTTCTCGGCAAACGGGCTGAAACGAAGGAAATCTCGGGTTTGGCCAGGTGCTTCCCCACGTAATTGGTGACACGATGGGGAATTTGTTTGCGATTTTTTTGTGGATTTCGTTTGCTGTCTGGGTATGATCGTGGATCGTATTGCTTTCTTGAGCTGTGCTATTTGCTTGAGTTGTTCCTGGAAAGGCATGCGCTGCTCTGCCCAGATATCTGCTAACAAACCCAATGTGCTGGCGTTGAAGACTATCGTACACCGGCTCCTGGGCTTTCACCGGAACGGTCCAGAAGGATTCGGCATATCGCGCAGACGGCATTGAACGCAAGGAAATGAGCCCATGTATATGGGTTTCGTCAGAAGGATTCCGCGGGGAAGGCCTGGCCCTCACGTAAAGTCTGATAGATGGCGATATATTGGATTGTCGTCATGATAGTCGCTTCTACATGCAACAAGATTGTAGATTGGATCGATTAATTGTTGGTTTGCGTAAGGATGGAAGAGTCGGGTGAGGGATATGTGGTGTTGCGCAGATTTCGTATGCAGCCAGCGGTATCTGCATCCAACCCCTTTTTTAGCTTCCCAGATACGAGGAAATCAAAGTAAGGTCGAGCCGGGTTTTCGATAGCAATATATAGTGATTGTTGCTAAAGATAACACGAGCGGGATCAATGTTGGTTCCTGGATGGTTTGTCGACCGTTGTTTGCTCTGCTGGCAGGACTGTTTTGTTGTTTCGACCTCCTCATCTCCCTCTCCATCTCGCTGATGATGTGATGAACTCTCCAAAATGATTCCCGCGTGTACGGTTTCAGGTTGAGTAGTGCACTCTTCGTGGTGGGTTCTCGTGCATGGTTGATCTGCGTGTGAAGGTGGGATTGGATCGTCTTTCGTCCTCTCCCGGTACAAAACATGGTGCACCCAACCAGCCCCTGGCCCAAGCCCGTTTTCCTCACTTCCGTGCCTGCCCAGCTTTTCTGTGAAGGATCGACGACCCGCCAAGCGACCCACCAGAATCTCGGTCGACGCGCTAGGCCCAAACAAGCCCCTTCTCCATTCACATCCACGCAGCGCTCTCCGCACTACAAAGTCGAAACATCCCTCGTTCAACCGCTTCTTCTGACCTTCTCTCTCCACCGTTCTTTCAGTCTCTTCCCAGATCCCACATTCCCTTTCCAGTCGTTCGCGGCAATTACACTCCTTGAAGAGTTCAGAAACACACGTCGCTTTGATAGCTAGAGCAAAGTCGAGCAGAAGTCTCCCACCCGAAAAACCGCCCTCCCCAGATTATCTTGTCTCTCCCCGTCGTCACCATTTGGATATCCGTCGTCACACCCGCAACCCACGACATTCCAGCCGACTCAGCTCACATTCTTCGAGAGAATAACGATCATAAGTACAGCTGTGCTGCCAATACGTTCACGACCCCCGATCTTTGATTTTAGGTCGCTTCCGCACACGATATTTATCGACCGAAGAAAGTTTTGAAAACAAACGTAAACATGCATTCTTCAATCATCATCACCTCACTTTGTGCTGCTTTGGCCGTAGCCAAGCCACTCCAACATATGGGAAAGCATATCAAGAAGGACTATGTTACCGATTTGGATATTGTCATCGAGACGGTTTTTGTAACTGTCACTGCCGGATCTCCACCAGCAGTTGAGACTCCCCAGGCCGAGGCCACCACTGTTGTTGTTATGAACACCGTCTACGCCCAAGCTGAGACCCCAGTTGCTACATCTTCTCCAAAGGCTGCTGCCGTCTTTGCTGCGGTATCCCCAGTCGAGGCTGCTGAGCCAGCACCGACTACGACTATCGCTCCAGTTGTCGTCCCTACCACCGCCGCTCCTGTTGTTGTCAGCACTCCTGAGCCAGTTGTCGCTCCAGTTCCAGTTACCAGTGCTGCCCCGGCTGCTTCAGGTTATGAGGGAACTATTCTCGAGCGTCACAATGCTCACCGCGCCAACCACTCCGCAAACGCGCTTGTTTACAACGCTACTCTTGCTGGGTATGCTAAGAACACCGCTCAAAAGTGTGTCTTTGCCCATGACATGTAAGTGGATAATCCCCTTGCACATTGAATCTTTAATTAATCGTCTTCTAGGACCCAAGGTGGTGGTGGTTACGGACAAAACATTGTTGAAAACGGCCGTCTTCCATGGACTGGTGTCAACATTGCTTCCGCTGCTGCCTTCGGTATCACTGAGCAATGGTACAACGGAGAGGAGCCTCTCTACGCCAGCAGCTACACTAAAGACAACCCAGCCACCAGCGCTGATGTTCTTCACTTCACTCAAGTCGTCTGGAAGGCTACCACTGACGTTGGCTGCTACACTGCCCAATGTGCACAAGGAACTGTTGATGCTGGCGCCCCAACCGCTTTCACTGTTTGCAACTACTGGCCACAAGGTAACTTTGGAGGTCAATACGGCAACAACGTCGCTCAAGGAAGTGGAGCCGCAACTCAACACGCCACCATCGAATGGAGCGCTTAAACGATCCTCACGTCTTTGAATATCCACGAGGTCCCATCGGCTCTGGCAGCACCCCTTCTTACACTTCATGTATAGAAACATTTTTCTTGGCAGATACTTTGCCATGTCGCGCCGGTCCACGCATGGCGAATCATCTTCAACCTCCTTTATCTCACGCTTAAAAGCAATATCGAAGAAATGATCTCAAAACATCACACCCTCGTTCTTGATTATTCATCGAATCTGGCTATCGCACTGTCTTATTGAGGATGTTTATCACGTGGATAGGAAAGCATCAATCCTGTTCTATTTCTAGTTCTTTGTACATATCTTAACGAAGCTATGAGTTTCCCAAAAAAAAAAAATGTGTCTGCGCGCGCTTGATCTTGAAATTGGTTGGTAAGAGAGGTGTTTTGGTGAGTGATTTTGGTGTATGAGGTATGGCGCTGATTTGGAGTACCATGACGTGACGGTTTGGTGTTGATGGAGGAAAGGAAGGTTTAGCCGGTTAACAGGTAGGTAGATTAGATAGATAAGATGAAAATTCTTTATCTGTTTATCGGTTTGTCTATCTACTTATTTGAGGTCTTGATAAGTGAATAGGTAGTGAATGATCCTCGACCGTCTACATGTCTTGTTAAAGTAACCATGTCGTCTCACCATTTAAAACATTACCTAGCTATCTCGCACCCCTTTTGGTAAACCATGCATAGATATTTGCCCACGAGCTTTCTTTTATCCCCTCAATTCATTCGCGATTGCAATCTCTAGTACTACTTTGTTAATTTGTTTAAGAAGGCTACTCTTTGTTTGAGAAGGCTGCTTACCCTGCTTTCTCTCTTGTGGATATATGGCCTTACTTTCTCTTCTGGATATGTGGTTGGGATGAAGTGACGTCGTTAAATAGACTCGAAGGTTGAGGTTTTTCTACCGCGGTGGTTTGAGAGGAGGTGGCGGGTTGGATGGGTTGGGTGAGTGGATGAGTGGGCGGGGTTCTGACGTGGGATGGTCGTGAAAATGGTAGTTATTAATAGTATACCAAAACCATCAAAATCATCTCTACATCCCGATCCCATTCATCGCTCAATAGTCTTTCGGTATTGACTCACTTAATCAAATTCTTATATAAGGTGATTTCCTGTAATGCGTGATTGTGTTGAGCTGGTGTTTTGGGATGGGATGATATTTGTTTTGGAGGTTGCTGGGAGAGGGGAGAGAGGGGAGGGGAGAGAGAGGGGGGAAGGTGAGGAGGGTGTGAGGGGAGAGTGTGGTATGGTGTTTAGGTTTGATGGAGGGAGAGAGAGGAAATGGGGTTCGTGATTGGAAGTTGGTGGTGATCGATAGATGTACGGGTTTTGATGTTCGCCAGGAATTTTGCGTTACTAGTGTAGTTAGGAGTTACCCGAGATGCTGAAGAGTGAGTTGAGTATAAGGTGGGTTTAGACGAAAATGGTTTGTACTTGAATTTAACGAGTGTTAATGAGCTTACTTGTATAAGATAGCTTGAGATGAGATACACTAGATATTACAGAAGTGTGATAGGGTTATTTATCAGGTATCAATTCCGAGTTTGTTAACTGTTTTACCCCACTGCTTTGCCAGAAAGCCATCTGGGTATTGTTTATTACTACAGCATCTCCACATCACTATCCTCATCCTCAATTCCCTCAATTAATGCGGCCATCTCCTCCGTAATCGCCTTACCCCGCTACAATATTGTCAGCACCACCCAAAACACCGGGGAAAAAAAAGGATCACATACCTCAGGACACAACCCCATCGCCCTCCCAAAACTCCTAACCGCCATCTCCTTGTCCCCATCCAAAGCATACATCCTTCCCAGCAGCACATACACAAACCCCCTTTGCGGCGCCAACCCCCTTAAGACCTCTAATTCCGACGCTGCTGCTTTGATATCGTTCATCTGGAGAAGAAGACGGACTTTGCGTTCCCGAGGCGCGATAGATTTTGGCGCGAGGTTCGCGGCGGCGGTATAGTGATTTAGAGCAGCGGGGAAGTTACGTTGAGCTTCGAGTGCCTACAACGCATTAGTATAATACCAGCGTGAGGAGAGACGACATACCATTCCAACACCACCCACCAGCACCTCACACCGCGGTTTAATCCTCGCCGCCCTCCTAAAATACGCTTCAGCGCAGGCGAATTTTCCGAGTCTCAAAAACGCGATCCCCAGTCCATACCACGCATTATAATGTCTCTTCCTAACCACCACCGCCTTGCGGAACGCCTGAATCGCCAACTCAAACTCCTCGTGCGCGATGTACTCGTGACCTTCAAGCGTGTATCCGTAAGCGAATTTTGGGTTCAGCTGCGTGGCGCGCTTGAAGCATTTCCCGGCGTTGCTGTGGTCGCGGTCTAGGGAGAAGGAGTTGCCGATTGCGCACCAGGTTTCGGGGGTGTGGCGGGAGAGTTCGGAGAGCTCGTAGGAGAGGAGGGTGAGGTCGATGGGGCGGCGAAGGTGCCAGAGACACGTGGAGTAGATGTCCATATGTTGGGTTTGGTGGGGGGAGTGTTTGCGGAGGGTGGAGAAGGTGAGGGCTGCGGTGGTGTAGTCTGCGAGTTCGAAGTGCGCGAGGGCGGTGTGGGAGAGGACGTAGGGTGTTTGTTGGTGGGTGATGGGGAGGGAGGTGAGGATATGGAGGGCGAGAGGGGTTTGGTGGTGCGTTGATAGGTAGTAGCTTTCTCCTAGCTGTTTGAAGAGACTTAGGAGGGACTCGAGAGCTTGTCGACGTTCTAGTGTTAGAGAGAATGTGTTGTTAGTTTGTGAACTCTGGAACTCGGGACTAAAAGCTTTATGGTCCGTACTTCTATCTCCCAATAATGTCGTAGTCGGCGCCTTGTTCGTGGCAGGATTCTTCACTTTAGAATTCGTTGGTACCCCGCGTTCACGTTCAGTCCTACCAGTTTTCGGATCCGGCGTTCGTACAGCATAAGTTCGATTCATTTGACGGACACTCTTCCTTGCTCCTACCTGATCCCTGACGAATTCTTGAGTTTGGTTTTGAATCAGTCGTCCTGACGGTGTCCTTTTATGACCAGCTACTATGGTTGGGTATTGATGCTCGTCAGGGATCGAGACTGAAGACTCGGCTTTTGTTGTATACTGAGCATCCCCTCCTTGAACAAACGTTCGTCTTTCGCTACGTATGCTGGATGGCTCTGTCCTGGAGGCTCGGCTCCTTGTGGCAAGTGAAGCGACACTTGGAAGAGTATATTCTGGAGTTTGGGTTCCGCTGCCCCTCAATATCTGCGTTTCGACCTCAGAAGACACTTCGGGAGCGCGTATTCTCTTTGCAACAGTAGCTATACGCTTCTTGCCTTTGCTTTTCGAAGTTGTATCACGAGCGATCTGGGCGGGTCGTAAAACACGTCTCGATGGCTGACTGACCTGAAGATTATGTCGAGTAGATGTACCAAATGGATCGGCATTTGGCAGTCCCACAAATCGAGTTTGACTAGGTCTATTCTCTGCTTGCAAGGGGTATCCTGAATTTTCCGAGTCGTACGATCTTGAACAAAATGGCTCTGAAGTTGGAACCAGTAAGTTTGGAGATACTTTGAATATATTCGATGTGTTGATCGCGACACCTGTGTGTGTTAGCCAGATGAAAAGCTTATGCCAGTAGGTCAAACAACCTATGTCGCAGAGACGTGTAAATGCATCCCACATAAATGCATTCAGCTTAAGGCCATTACTGTAACATTCCACTGCCGATTTGACATCATCGCAGCCTTCAAACAACTTTCCTAGCAGGCAGTATATAGAGGCAGCATTCGGGAGGATTTGCCGATTGCTTTCCGAGTGTTTTCCTGCAACGATATTTAGATTAGGACCGATCTTGAAATAGGAACCCTGGATCTGATAATACTCACCCCAACTATTTACCTCAACCCACGAAGATCTACACTGCTCAAGCGCCTGTATCCCATCCCTACACTGACCAAGACCCAAACAACACTGCGCGAACACATACGCACACCCAAGATGTTGTCCACTCTTCCCATACCTCTCACTCTGATCAGCCGCCTCACTCAATCTCCCCAATCTCAGCAAACAGAGAGAAGACAGATGGGCGGAGTCAGCGGAGGGCTCATAGACAGTCAGTCGCTCAGCAATAAAGAGGGCATTGGCGACGAGCTCGTTATCCAAGAAATAGAATATAAGACGTCGAAGATCGTCGGCGATGAGGTGGTCGAGCCCCGCCATGCCGGAGAGATGAGAGGTGAATAGGAGGGATGAGTGTGGTGGGCACCATTTGAAGGTGATATGTTGGTGGTGAAAGTGCGGCACGTGTTGCCATTTTCTTTTGGATCTGGGTGAGAATTAGGACTCGCTTCGCCCTAGGTCGATTATATCTCTGGAGTTCATTCACTACTTGTCTTTCACTTCTCCAGTAATTTCTTTCCTCGGTCTTGAGATAGAGCACTTCATTGATGAACCATTTTAGAACATGATTCGATCAACCTTGTAGTCAAATGTGCAAGATTGTTCACTGTATGATCAATCCAAAGATCTCAAACTTACCGCCTGCTGTTTGGCGGTTTGCTAGAATTATCCAAGACGAGTTTGACACATACTGATAAAAACTTGATAAGTTATGGATCTTGAAAATATTGCTTGCCATCATCGTGAGCCACAATCTAAGTACGTCCATCACCCAAATCATTGGAAAGGGTTCTTTCGGTCGCGGTAGGGCCCAAATGTGAGGCGTGGAAGCAACAACGCCCAAATTCGCCCTCGATGCTAACACTCGAGAATAAGATCGGTCTCTCATGATTTCTGGCATTTCTCAATTAGCCAAACTATGTATAAACACCACCCGACAAACGACTCCTTTCATCATCTGAGTTCGCCTGTTATAGCTTCCACTCCCATCATTCCCAAACTGCACAGCAGCCCAAGATATCAAATCTTTCCTTCCATAACTCCACCCGCAAAGTTACTGTTACAAGATATTATGTCCTCCACGAAACCACCTCGAAACACAGGAAGAATCACAAACACAGGAAGAATCAGAAACACCATGTCGCCAGAAATGGGGTTTAAATCAGTTAAAGCTGATGGGAGATTGTTAGTAAATAGCGGATTAATGGATTTGGTGCAGATAGGCGTCAACGGGGGTTTTGTTTGAGGGCGGAGGACTTACTATATACAAGGATGCCTGTTAAGGACAGGAGAGTCCAGGCAAGGCGTTTTCGTAACGAATAAACAAGAATCGAATGCGACGGAAGAGTGTCGACCGAGGATTTGAATGTCGAAGCAAGGTAGACGTAGTATTATCTCCACTGCCGACGTTGCATCAATGATTCGCTAGCAAAATGAGGACGTAGTAGAGAAGCCAAAATATCATCAAGGAACCGGTCTTGGTGTTTTTGCGTATGGCCCGGACCTCAAAGACAAAACAGGAAAATCTCAGTATAATATTCTTATATATGCGCTCCCAAGAAAAGAGGTGAAGATTCTGGTGGTGGTGAAAGCTCACAGGTAATCTCGCTCAAACTCGGCATCTAGATGTACCGGTACCCTTTCCTCCTCCACATTTCTATCTCGATCCTTATTCGCGCTCTGATTTTGGACTAGCTGATGGAGAAGTTTGTTATTCTGTTGAAGTAATAATTCGATGCGGTCCACTTTGGTTTCGAGCGTTCGTAGTCGCGCATCGTTGCCCATGACTTCCCTCCAATCCTCTTTTGTCATTGCGCCTTCAACCACGACTCTGCGTGGAGGTTCTGGCGGGTTTGCTAACGCGTACTGCTGTGCTTGCCACTGTTCCTGGTGGATCTGTGACTGTAATTCTTGCGCCGTGCCTCGTTCATTAATCCGTCTTCTCTTCTGCGGCCTGTACCCATTCATATCTGGCTGTCCATTTTGCTGTAGAGGATGGGGCGTCACCTCACCACTATGTGATGGTGGACCTTGCTGTTGCGATGGTGGAATATGTGGTTGTATATGCTGTGGTTGTTGCTGATGTAGCGGTTGAATCTCTTGAGGAGGTGCTGGTCCAGTAACGATTCTCACTCCTGTGTTGTTCTGGGCATGTGCGAGAGTTTCTGCGGCGATTGCTTGCCTTCGTGCCTCCTTTCTTTGCTCCTCGATCTTTCTTCTTGCATCTACTTGTCTCATCCTCTCGGCCTCTGCGTCAGAATCCTCTATTTTCAAAAATTCCATCCACGCGTCGAGCTTCTCATTCAGTTCTCCAGCCGGCTTGTTCGGTATTATTCCACTTTCCCAATCAGATATTTGCCGCCTCCTAACCTCGACCAATCTTCCAACAGTGGCACTCATCTGAGCGAGCACCTTACCCGTGTCATTCTGAAAGGCTTGGTTGACACCAGTCCAGAACTGAGCTTTGGTACCCTCCTTAAAGTTGTGTTTTTGGTCCAAGCAAGCCTTCAACATTGCAATATGATCGCGCTCATCGAGATTCTGTCGCGGTTTGCGCGCACTGCCGCCAGACGTCGAGATCTGCGATCCCTCGCGCATCTCACGTACCGGCGTCACCAGCGATCGAGGGAGGGGAGGAGGATTCATTCGCGACTCGGTCGTCGGTGTTGAGTTTTGATTCTCATGATTCTGGGGTTGATTATTCATGGCTGGTTGTGATTGGGGACGCGATACTGGCGTTACAGGTGCAGGGGGAAGAATCGGAGCAGATGGGCGCGCGTTCGTTGTCGGGGCCATTGGGACAAGCTTAAAGGTGTGAAAGGCAGAGGCTGTTGGCATTCGATCGTGGGTCGGCGTGTTGCCACGACTATCCTCTTCGTCGCGGTTATGAGACTTAGAATCTACAGCCGTCGTCGAGTCTGAATCTGGAGATGATCCTGGCATATCGTGACCGATGCGCTAGTACGCGTTTGGTAATGCAAGAAGATCGTGACCGAACTTGTATCAGAGCTACTCAACATGAAGGTCGTGAAGGAGTAGAACCAAAATATCCCAGATCAAGATGTTCCGGATCAAATTGAATACAAGGTGTCTTGGGACGAATGTGCCATACGGCAGTAGGCAATATTAGCGCAATAAAAGTGCCTTTAGCATATTTACAAATGCTCCTCGTTTGAAGCAACTGCCACCTTCGCTAGCCTAAGCCTTAGTGGTGATTCTCATCGCGGAAGAACAATTTGAAAGATTATTGAGATGCCTCTTATTATTTCTAGGTATTATTATGAGTGAGTAGTTTCCTACAGCGAGGTGGATTATCGTTTCATGCAAGGGACAAGAAGTTTGAGACCTTTATCCGACCACGGTTCCAAAGCGCGCTGCATGGATTATGACTCGCCATATCATCGGAAGGATGACACTTGTGAAGTTGTTGACAACCTAATCGAATTAAAATCATGTTTTTGACTACCAATCGTTACTTCGAAGTAAGTGTAGAAATTAATATATAGCAAAAATTTGTGGCGAATAAAGACAAACAAAATCGAATTGTTGCAACACAAACGTCGTAATACTTCGGGCCAGTTAGGCACGCAATGGAGTGATAGTTAGGAATAGCTATATCCTAGGCAGGACTATTCCCACGATACGGTCAGGCCAGTATGTGCTGTTTGGGAGAAACAGAGGTAAAGGGTGATAGGTATAATTAAATAACTTGTGGTTAAAGAGCTGTGCTTCAGTCGGAAAATGCCAGATCCTGCTGATAGAGCCCTATGCCCTTGTCGAATGTTGTGTCCTCTTGTCCATCAAATGCCACCACCGAATCCCATTGGTGTTGTACCGACTACGTTATTCTCCTCTCATTTGGCTTCGGCTTCGTTCGTACATCACCATTCCATATCACCACTCCATACAAAGTACAGCACCGCCTGGAACAGTCGATGCGAGACTTGACAGTTAGTTCGAAATGGTTCAGAGGTTTTCGGTTCCTCATAACGACCGACCATTGTAGCCGTCCTGTTTCGAGCGGGCCATGTTGGACTTCGACCCGAGCTATAAATTTTCTTTGTGAGTATGCATCTTCAGCGCCTGACCGGTTCACATTCCCCCAAGGGTTGCACGAGCGAGCGCCGTCCAGTTTCAACATCGTGGAGTATAGGAATAAATATAGCACCTTCAGTTGTTCGAACACACTCCTTCCCGATATCACACACGCAGTTATAACAATCATTTTCCGGTTCTCATCCTTTTACTGCTGCTCTTTGACGAACCGAGTGAGCTGATCGGCCGACCAATCTCATCAGCACCAAGCATGATCTCAACGAGACGATGGATGTACCATAAAGGCTTGCAAACGAAGAATATCCCCATATCATCAATGAGGTTTAGCATGTTGGAATGAAAAAGGCCGTGCATTGGTCGGAGTAAGAGATATATTCCGATGTCGTCGACGAGGTTGACAAGGTGCATTGACAGAGTTGACAAACAGTTGACGTGAAGTGAGGTTGATTTAAGGTTGTTTGTGAGGAGGATGATATGCTTAAAACGACGTAGGAAGTCAATGGTCCCTTTATCAAATCTCTGCCACTACCTTCCACTTCATCATTCTTCAATCCCATGATCGTGAGGCTGCCAAAGCGAGTGATGAAGAGGTTGTGACTCCTTTCAAGCGCATCATCTTTGTTGGACACGATGCTGCGTTGATGTTGCCCAACATCGGAGAATCCACAATGCTTAACCTACCTCGACACACTCCCACGTCTCGTTCTTGTCATCGTGTATTTCGAAGTGGATCACGAGGTAGAGTCTCGATACTACTGTACTGAATGACAAGTATTCATCTGCTCCAAACTAGTGAAAAACGTGTGTGTGTTCGATTGACTTCTTCCCCAGAAGTCAAGGTCGCAGTGCGTGGAGCAGGGGTGCGATCGACCACGTCAGTCTCCTCGGTTCGACTCAGGGGAACGAAGCGGACCTCCCAGCAGGTACGAAAACCGACCATTCGTTCGGTAACTGTGCAATAAGATCTTCTTAGCGGAGGTGGACTTATGAGAACAGACGGTGAGAGAACTGTTCAAAACCAGACGTCTCAAAGTTCTCGCCTTGAGAGGTTGAGGAGAATAGCCACGAATTCCTTGTGGCAAGGGTCCAGATCCATAGATGGAGTGAGTAGCACGTTTACTAGATCTATGAGCTCGCTTGTTAAAATCGTTCCAACGCTATCACAACTTCACATTTTTTCCGTACCTTCTTTTTCAGTTCTTTTGTTTTTCAATTTCGTATATTATATCATTGCGATATTTTGGGGTGGTTAATGCTACCCAGTCAAAGAGTGATCTCAATGATCATTGGCATAGGTCCCCTCGTCCAATCAAGCCGAAGCAAAGAGAATCTCCAAGTCAACTCGATAGTCGTCGTCTTGCCATCCTAGGAGCGCTTTAAGTTTCTCGTTCAGCAAGTCTTCGATTTTCCCGTCCAACTCATCTTTTTCGATACTAAACAAGATGTCCCAGGCGTTCATATCCTCAGGCATATCATCCCCTAAAGCCTCCGTGATGACCTTCGACAAGATTAAAAATCTAGAGATGTCGCCTCCGACAGCAGATGCAATTGATGTGAAGATATGAGATCTCAACAGGTACTCCAAACAATGGTCACCCTTAAGAAGATCTCTCAGCTTATCTGAGTAGTGGTTTCGATACTGTGCAAGTTGCTCAGGCGAGCCCTCCTTGGGAATGTCTAACGGACCGGCTTCCTCTACTCCATACATCAATGGGTCCCAATCCCGCCAAATCCAACTAGGGAGTCGAGCATAACCTAAGAATTCCGGAACTGTGTGGACATTATCCCAGTCAATCATTCCAGTAAGGTTTCCCTCCTCATCGACCAGAATGTTCTCTAAGTCGAGACAAGGGTGGGTAAGCACGAAGGTTTCGTCCAAGGTATCTTGAGGCAAGTATGAAATGAGCTGCTTGAGGGTTTTCTCATAGTTAAACGAACCCGACATGAAATCCGTCTCAGAAGCACCGTACGATGCCCACATATAATCCCGTGAGGATTTGAATGGTCCGGTCTCGCGACGTTGAGGTGATGAATTGGGCTGGCTAGACTCATCGGAAGCCTCAAAAAAACCACAAGGGCCAATTTCAAAGCTTTCCGGATCATGGACATGCTTTGGTAGCAGAATTCCAATCTTGTCGAACTTCAAGCTTGCCAGTTGAGACATCGCCTCTGCGACTGTATCCAATGATCTCAGTCGTCGCGTTTCCAAGTATGTAGGCCCAGATGCATCCGTCCACATGTGTCCAAGACTTTGTCCAGGGAGGAAACTCATTACCATGTAAGGAGCCCCAATGATATTGGAGCTTTCAGTGCTGAAATCTAATATTTCAGGTACGGGAATGCTGGTTTTACTTCTGATCAGCTGTAATGTGAATACTTGAGATCTCAAAGAGTCTTTATGCCTCTGATCAAACTTGTTGCCCCATCCGTGTGCTGGTACACGAACTATAGACTTCTTACCGCAATCGAACTCGATAATATGGACTATATTGGAGTAACCAAGATGTCTATTTACTACTTGTCCTCCTGGTAAACTTTGCGAGTTCGGAAAATTCGCCTTTGCTGCCAGACTGACAATAGAGGCAAAACTGATATCCAAAGTGGGCCCAAAGCATTTCTTGTAATCTTCGTCGTATTCTATTTCAAGACCATAGCCACAGTCCACAGATGAAGCCATGTTCAAAGAGATTATGTGTGAATATGGTTATAGAGATGTGAGAGATGTGACTTGAGAGTCAAGATGAGATACACGGTTTGAATTTCGGAATGCGGTCAACAAGTGACGTATTTAAGCACTTGGCAGTTGACTGTTTTTGTCTATAGACGCTGAACATGATACTTAAGACAACAATAAATCCAGCGTATCTCCAGACACTCAACAAAGCCAAGCAAATAGTTTAAAGCCTAGCGACGCATCTTTTGGTTGCTGTTCCCATTGCCTTTGTTCTTCTTCTTGTCTTTCTCCTCACGCTCCCTCCTCTTCTTGTCTTCCTCTTCTTGCTCTTTCTTCTTCCTTGCTGCTTCTTGCAATTTCGCTTGATGACAATAGGGACAGGAGTTGTTGGACCTTTTTTGCCAGCATCGCTTGCAACTCCTACAGCGGATAATGTGACCGAGCTGGAAGCAACGATGATTTTCTCTTGGCCCACCAGCAAAACTGCTATGCTATTAGAATCGAAGTTATACTCTCTGTGGAAATACATACCACTTGTGACTGGTGTTATTTGTTCCGCCAGCCATTTCTCAGGAGTATGGTATGATGATGCAGGTAATTGGGATGGAATGGGTTCAAGATAGAGCGAATGCAACTGAATATTATTTGAAGGTCTGATATCGACCATGAGAGCTACTGGCTATTATAACATAACATTGCTTTGGCATTTCCAGCCTTTCTAATAAAACATAGAACCTTTTGTTATAGTAAAGGGAACGGAAGATTGCAGCTTGTAAGTCTCATTTTCTTTTACGTAGCAGCTGTAGACAATGAATTTCCTAGACCATCTTACTTATCAAGACGTTCGAAACTATGTCCATTGATCGAAATTCTCCAAAGCGCTGTTTCAAAGGGAGCAGCATTACTGCGAATTTGGTGAAGAAGTTTTGACGAGAGATGTTTCCATGTCGGGAGTGGTGGTGATGTGAGAATGTAGACAAGGCGGATCGTCGCACCTTATAAACTGAACAAAGAACAATCTTTCATATAGTAGCTTGGTAAACATAGAGTCTGACAACTGGAATCTCTGAAAGGCATCTTTGAGAGTAAGCTGAAACTAATAAGTTCCCCTAGTGGTCGGTGAGTGCGTGTTCTGTTTCTACTAAACGCACGTTCTGTTTGACTAAAGGGAGTGAAAAGTCCCCTATTCGGCTGGCGGGCCTTCCCGCCAGCAAAACCATGCAGATGTCTGGGTGCCTGACAGGCTGAGACCCAATTGGGAAACCGGCTTACAGCTATTCCCCCTTCAGCCTGCACTCTGGAATTCTTTCCATTGGAAGTGATACATACTTGACAACACATCCAACCTTATTTCCTGTCAACTATCTTCACTCAGTTTTCATCTGTGGATATTGTACACTTCACCACCGTCTCAACTACTGCAATAGAAGAAGACAAGAACCACTTTAAATCCGTCAGTTGCCGGGCCGTCTCGAATTATTTCTGCCAGAGCAACACCACGCACGCATGCACTCACTGGCATCCACCAGCGTCATCCACACATCCCGCTAGCCAAACAATATCCTCTTCCTCGACGGCTCTCCGTTCCCTTTCCAGTACAATACATCCATTACACCTTTCAAATACAACTGATGGTTCTCCCACTTCGTTACCATGACGCAAAACAACAAACAGCCAATCGATAGTTTCTTGCCTTCCGGCGCCATTGAACCTCATCCGCGCACGTTCAACATTCACGACTCGGGCGTCTCTCCTCTGAGTGGTGTGCCACGCAGCCTTCCAGAAGCCGTCTACCATCCTGGATCACATTCTAGCACCCATTCATCTTCCTCTCCTCACACCATGATGCAATCACGATCACCCTCACAGCACCCAAACGGGCCTCCTATCTCGCCGCCAAAGACCAGAAGTGCAAGTGCGGAAGACACAACAGCAGCTTTAATGGAGGACTGGAGAGCGTATGCGCAGAAGCTCCGGACCCAATTCGAAGGCGAGAAGGCACACATGCTGGCGGATAGGACGCGGATGGACGAGTTGATGGCGGAGGAGCGAGACGTTTGGGACCGAGAGCGGAAATATCTATTTTCGAGGATCAACGAGTTGGAAATTCAATTGGAAAGCGCCAAAGCAACACAGGAAACCAGCTCTCCGCAAGCATTATTTAGTTCCAGAGTACCAGGCTCGAGAGCTCATAATGCAAGTCTCACCAGTGAGGGAAGGTCGGCGACCGGAAGTACGGACAGCAATGCGAGGTCTATTCCACAAGAGTCGGGACGAAATGCAGATGGAACGCCTTTCTATGCGCCTGCTCCCCGAAATCCTAGTCGTACTTTCAGTTCATCATCTGAGAATGCTGAGCTCAGAGTCGACGATATTTCTGCTCCCAGGGAGACTCCAATTTGCGTCACAAGCAAAGTCCTAAAGCCTGTAGACTTTCTTCAATCTCCGCCAGGTACCACAGAATTAAGCTCTATACCGGAAACACCGGTCGACACCATAGATATTTCACAAATACAACCCAACCTTGAAGGCATCCACATCAAGGCATCTGCGGTCAACCCCTCATTTGTTGCTCAAGTTATCAGTCCAGGATACACTCCCTCAACGCTATCGCCTTCGGTAAAAGCTCCAAGCAGAATTCCGGCACAGGTTGATGGCATCACTAGTCCACCAAGTAGAAAGAGTGCTAGCCCAGAGGAGAAGGCTGCTGACAAAGTGAGGAAAACCTTGCAAGTTGCTGCTGTACCAGAGCCCGCTAGATTGACAATCCATGCTGGACATACACCAAGCCATTCAATAACCAAGCTCAATGAATATTTTGGAACTGTGGACGGCACGATCGCCGAGCTCGACGAAGATACCACGCCGAGACAAAATCCAGTCGACCATTCTCATCGTCCTTCAACCCGTCCAGTCATTTTACTTGGTGGCGACGATGTTGGGGACAATAACGACGACGAAGAACATGATAAACCCCTCACCGGTCCGCTGAGCCTGACGAACGATGCAGCAGCCGACGACTCGTTCCTCCAACAACTCCAAGCAAAACTCGAAGAAGCAAAACGCAGTGAAGGCAACAGCCCCGTCAGCGAATCCGGTAGTAGCATCACTAGCGCAAGTAGATCTAGCAGACCTAGCAGATCGATGCGTAGCGACCCGGATGATAAGAGTGATGATGGACCAGTCCTGAGATTAAAACCTAGTCTCAATTTCGGACGACCGATGGGGAGGATTTAGCCATCTTGTCTTCCCCGCTGGGGTTTCTATCGAAATTGGATTCTGTAGCGGTTTGTTGGCTGTTGTATTTTTGCGTGCATACCGGGAGTAAACAAATCTCAAAAAGAATGGGAATGAATTATTTGGGAGTTTGGGGAAATGGATCGGATCGGATGGGATTGGCGGATACCCTTCTTATCACTTACTTTGGCGGCATATCATTGTTTTCGCCCCTTCACATTTGCTGTGGTTTTCTTTGACTGTTTACATACACTCATTTCTCCCCATGAATGGGGATTTTGACTCTTTCTTTTGTTGTGGAAGTTGAAGGGCGGGAGCAGCGGTCTATATATATATTGAGGACTAGATGGTGGAATAGCGGTTTCTAGTGAGCGGGCGACCAGTACCGAGAGGGGTACGACGAGCGTAGTTTAAATATAGGATTGGAGAGTTTTATATTTTATACTTTGTGTTGATTTGTCGGGTTTTGTGATATGTTGTGATTTGTAGACGGGAAGAGTGAGGGTGTGTGTTGAGGGGGTGAGACAGGGGGGGTAGATAGATAGAGGGGAATGGTAGAAACTTTAGAGTCCTACAACTCCCACTATTGGGAGGTAATCGAGTATTAGAGCGTTTCATAAGGTTTTGGATACTGGAGCTGGAGGAGTCGGTGACTCAGGTGGTATTGTAATCTTCCTCATGTGCACGAGATGAATCCTGCATTCTGATCTGCAGAATCCATAACTCCTCCCAATCTGACATGCTCTTCACAGATACCCTCCCACCTCTCCATACCACCAAGAAAGCGCACACACCCAGCTAAACACCGCACAAACAGACAAACATCATGTACAAAAATTTCTTCATTATTTCCCTATTCTATAAACACCCATTTTCATACAAAATCCCCCTTTTTCCTATCTTTTTTCTATCTCATTTCATTACCATTACATTAAAACCCCCACCACAACACCCATCACGCCCATCAACCACGATCCTCGCACCGCGGACCCGCCGTTCGTAAGCAACGGCGTGCTCGTAGCACTCCCAGTTCCGTTCCCTACAACCGTAGGAGCAACAACCACAATCGGCGTACTAGCACTCGCAGTCGTAACAACAGCGACAGTCGTCACGCCCGTCAGCACAACAAACGTACTCGTCCCCCTTACAGTCGTGAGACCCGTCACCGCTGCTCCTCCCGCACTGTTCACTGCGATCTCGGTCGTTCCGCCGGCGCTGCCTAATACCAACGACGTCGTCACCGTCGATGGTGATGGCGCGGGAACAGCGACGAAAGAGGGGATTATAGTGGTGCTGGGCGCGGCGACGGTGGTCGTGTAGGAGACTAGCACGGCGGTGGTGCCTGCGAGGACGGTTGTGAGACCTGCGGGCGCGGAGACGCCTGGCAGGATGGGGATGGTGGCGATCCCGGAGATGGTGACGGGAGATGGGGTTGCTTGGATGGGGAGGGGGGAGAGTCCGAGTTGAGAGGCTATTGCTGAGGCTATTGGGTTTGCGGTGGTGGCTGCTGAGGGGGGGTTTGCGGGGGGTGCGCCGATGAGGGTTGAGGCTGGGGGTGCTGCTGAGCCTGGTGGGTTGTTGGCTGGTGGGTTGGTCGCGGGAGTGTTCGCTGGGGGGTTTTGGACGGCAGTGTTGGCAGGAGCGTTGTTCGCTGGTGTGTTGACTGGCGTGTTGGCCGGTGGGTTATTAGCTGGAGTATTGGCAGGCGGGTTGTTCGCAGGAGTATTAGCAGGTGGGTTGTTGGCCGGAGTATTAGCAGGAGGATTATTAGCTGGCGTATTTGCCGGAGGGTTGTTGGCCGGAGTGTTGGCTGGTGGTGTGTTTGCCGGAGGTGGAATTACTGTTGTAGGTGTATTCGCTGGAGGAGCCACTTCCGTGGGCGTATTAGCGGGAGGTGCTACAACGATAGGTGTATTTGCAGGAGGCTGTTGAGTGGTTGGGGTATCAGCTGGAGGAGGTACTACGATCGTAGGAGTATTGGCAGGTGGTGGCGGGGCTTGTGTTGTAGGCGTGGTTGGAGGAGGCACAACTACGGTAGGCGTGTTCACAGGAGGAGGCGGTTGAGTTGTTGGAGTATTAACTGGAGGAGCTGGCGGTGGTGCTGTAGGCGTGACAGCTGGAGGTGTAGTAGTTGGGGTTGGAGCCGGTGGAAGAGGTTCAGGTGTTGTCGTAGGTGTTGTCACTGGCAAAGCAGTTGGAGTGACGGTGATGACAGTTGAAGATGTGAGATCACCTCCGGCCTCTGTATATAGCATTAGCACTGGAATATTCATTGAAGGACTTTTACAAACGTACCTTGAGTAATAGGAGCAACTTGACTACATGCTGTATTAGAGACAACTTCAGGTCCTGCAGGCAAACAACCAGCGAGCTCAGGGAATTGAGACTGCGCAAAATCAAGCGCGGATTGCACAGGATAACCATAATTCTCAGGCCCAGCACCTTGCGTACAACCGTCATAGCCTAGACCAGTTGTGCCCGTGGCTCCTCTGGGTGGGAAATAGATGAATGGTGTTGCAAGAGACAAAACGGTTCCAGTAGGCTTAAAGGTAGCATCTTTATCGAAATATGCTTCGGCGCTGGGATTGACCGTAAAGACAGGCAAGTTGGTATACGTTGATGTGAACTGGCCACCAGTAGACACGACACCCGAGCTGAGGGTTAGACGTGTGGTGATTGTATTTGTCGCAACACCAATTGATGATATTAAAGTAGGCCCTGTGGTTGTGTACAGTGTTTCGGTTTCAGTTCTGACGATGGTCTCCGTTGTGTATGGAACCAACGTTGTTGATCGACTGAAATCCACGAGGGTGGTAGGGAAAGTAGAACGAGTTGCACATGCTTTGTTTCCGTTCGAGTCCGTAATGGCTGGGACACGAATAACCTTCAAGGTGGGGTATACGTTAAAGGCTGCTGGAGAATTGACAGTCACGCCAGCAGTAACGATTTGGGTCGCATTAAGAATAACCGATGCATTTTGCTGGATCTTTCCACCATCGAAATTTCCGTATAAGTAGATTGGATTGGTTCCAGCTTCTCTGGTAAATGTGAAGGAAGCATTTGTCGTGTATACATTTGTGGTACTCGCAGAAAGAGTCGTCGTTGGATATGGAGTTACATATGTGGTGATAGATGTGAGGTTGACGATATAGTAATTGGTATATGCTGTGTATATCTCCCACCACACTTGACTGACAGTATCTTGAACAACGAAGCAGCAGTCGCCAGTTACGGATGGTGGCGCCGTTATGGTTGGATTTGGATTTGGAACTGTTCTAGTACTTGTAATCTGCTTTGTACTTGTGATTGTAGTATCCGTATCATTGGAGAATTCTGAAGGATTGATTAGTCAAAGATCATGGTGAGAATTTCTCAGGCAGATTCAGGATTTGAATCAGTAACACTGAGGTCTCTTGTGACTTTTGAACGTAGTAACTTACGTTGAGCTCCGACCACACTTGAAAGAATGACAAGGCCAAGGCCCAAAGCACTTTTAAAGGTCTGCATCTTGACGTTTACGCAAAAGACACAACAAACACAAAGTTCAACAAAACGAAGGTGGGTAAAGAGTCAACTAGAGATGCGCAAGCAGAGAAGGTAAATATGCTCGCGAGCACATGGCATGAACGGCAACGGGTAATGCCAGGTACGGAATCCATCTGCGGGCAACGGAACCCAAATTAGGCTTCTGGCTGTGTAGTCAGAAATTTAGCAAGCTAATAGCGTATGGGTCTAGTGTAAGCCTGGCAAAGAGAGGAGACTCAGCAAATCATGGCTGCAGAACTCGTCGTACATGTGACAAGCCTGGAAAAGCCCAGGTTTCTCCACTAATGCAACCTTGAGGCGTGGAATCATGGTAGAAGGTCCGGCGGCGCCATTCAGTCCACAGAATCGTGTGCTTCGTGTGCGAACAGCACAAGTGTTGTGAGTTCTGTGCCTTCTGAGTGCTCACTTCGCTACATTGCTATGATGTTGTCGTAGTAAGAGAGAGAGTTAATTGGAAGAGGCTAATGCTAAGTATCTCCGAGGTAACTCATGCCTATTCTCAAAGTTTGAGTCTGCTCTACTTCCACTGCATCTACTGTATTCCTGACTTGAGGCGCAGTTTCCTGGAAATGCAGTGAGTGTATGGCATCCCGGGACGATTGAGGCTCCCCAAGACTCGACATGAAAAGGCCGCCGATGCCGTTTTCTGGTCTTCTGCGAACTGGAACTGGGGTCTCTCGATAATCCGTAGGGCCCCCAGGGGGGCAGCCCGTGGCCGTGGCTTGAGATTAACCTGTGCGTCCAAGATCTCACTGGCCACACTGGCCGTCGAGTGGTCCTCGACTTGTCCGGCAAAAAGTCCTTGCGAAGAAATCATCCAGGGGCGGACTTGTACGTCAACCGCCACACACAGTGCGACAGTTGCGACTTCACCCCGCTATAGTGCCCAAGAGGGGAATTTCCAGAGCCCAAGTCGCTGTAAGTTACCCTTTATGGACAAGATGGTGTGCTTCGTAGCTATTGACCACTCTTCTTCTCGACGGGATGGATGCTGCGGTATGACTGGCCCCGGAGACGCGAGAATAACAATCTTTGTCATGGTGTAGCGCGCATCATCAGCCTTGATGTACCGCTGCCGCGTAACTCGCACGGTTGAGGTTGAAGTTGGGGTTGAAGAAGTTGGAACCGTGAAGACATTGTCGTTACGACCGCTTACGGGGCCAAACAGGAGCAATCAAAGGCCAACTTCATCCCCACTTTGCGGGAAAACAAACCAACAATTTAAGGTTAAGCGCCCGTCCTCCCGGAGCTAAAGCTAAGATTTTCTTTCAACTTCATCGTCCGTGGGCTCTGACTCTCCGAGCTTTTGCCATCAACGCAACGTCTCGGCATTACTTTGTCAAATCTTCTTATACGCAGAGAGAACTCTCAGTGGTTGAGATAATATTGGTCATAGGAATTGGAATTCGATCAGCAAGCTAGGTTTCATGAGATTGAATTATGCTGACGGGATCGTCGCTCTCTCGCCAGACGCCCAATCAACCTGCGCCTACCAGCTCATGAAATTGTACAAATACATGCAGCCCACCCATACTAGCACGTCAGACTAGAGCTCTTTCAGGGCTATTTTCGTCGCTCCAGCCTCCTGGCTGAAAGGTCTGGAAGCCCTGTAGGCGGAGTTCACCATGCTGCAAGCCTAGAACGCCATGCTCACAGTGTTCGCAATCATCATTTTCGCTCTTGGTTTTGTGGTATTTTGGGATTCGGGAACGTTTCTGCTATTTCCTTGCTTTCTCTCGATGTTGTTGAACGTTCCTCCAAAGTGTATACTCGCAAGTCGCAAGTCTTCATCAGCGGTGTAAGGTTTCGCCAAGGTTCATGGGACTATCAAATACGCTGTGGATTTGGGACATTAAACCACTAACGCTTAGGGGTTTAAACCTTCATTTCATGGGCTGATGTGAGCTTTAAGCCATTTCCACTCTGCTTATCTCCTCTGAGTTCTCGCTCACATGGTTCCCAGTTTTTCTCCGTCTTTGTCTTCTCTCAAAATTTCCCCCACCCAACTGGTTGGAGCCTATTTACCTTGCTCTTTTCGATTCGCGCACTCCCGACTCCTCCGTGTTGCTGTGCCACACGCCTAGAAACATCCTAAAGGGCAACGCCTAGGTGTCCTGTCGCGCTTAGAGCAAAGTGTACATCACTCTGTGTAGATCTGACTTTTACTCCTCCTTTGGGCTTTTGCAAGTTTTGCGTTGAGTAATTCTTCACCAAGCACCTGTCGAGCGAAGAAAATGCCATTGTCACCTAAGGTTTGAACCAGTACTTGAATATAAGCGATGTGTTTTGCGACAGTCTCCCCACCATGAGGCCACCCCAAAGTTTCGCGGCGCTGCTGTTGATTGCGCGATTTGCCGCCTTGGTTGATTGTCGAAACCCGTGGGAGAATGCGTTTGAACGAAGAGTTACAATTCCAGCACCAGTTTCTGTCGCAGCAGCCCAGAATTGTATGTTCAGTTCGCTTAATTCAAAGATGGTTGATATTGACTGGTTTTAGGGGATGGCAACGACGGTACATGGTCTTCTTTTGCTTTTCAAGTTGGTACGCCGGCTCAAATCGTGAGGCTCCTCATTTCTACCGCGCTTCACCAAACCGCTGTAGTGGTGCCTGAAGGATGTGTATCGACGGACCCCTCGGATTGCGCAAACCTGCGCGGTGGTCTCTTCCTCAGGAATGATTCATCGACATTCGAAAAGAATCTCGCGAATCTATCCACCACCATTTATCCACTGACCTTGGGTGATAACACTGAATTGGGATACACCGGAAAGGCGACACTTGGTTTCGATGATATTACACTCGGATGGCAAGGTGCTGGTGGACCAACTTTGAAAAACCAGACCGTAGCAGGTATCGCAGCGAAGGACTCATATCTTGGACTTTTCGGTTTAACTCCAAGAGCCAGTAATTTCACGAGCTTCAACGACCCGATACCGAGTTTTCTTCAAAATATGCGAAATCAATCTCTAATACCAAGTCTGGCTTGGGCTTACACTGCCGGAAATCAATATCGTAGGTATCACTAAAGGATTGTGCAATGGAACCAGCTAATTGTTCTAGGTCTCAACCAGGTTCTTGGCAGTCTGACCTTAGGTGGTTATGATGCGTCGAGATTCGTTGCTAACGGTATGACTTGGTCTTTTAATTCGCAGGATGTACGCGACCTTACAGTCCAGATAACTGCAATCACGACGAGTAATTCAAGCGGCGAGATTTCACTTTTATCCAAAGCCACACCAGCGTTTTTAGACTCGGGACTTCCATATATTTGGCTCCCTGAAGAGTCTTGTATATTATTCGAGAACGCATTCAACTTGACATATAACGAAACCACCAATCTCTATCCAGTCACCGATGCTCAACATAAAGCGCTCGTCGCCCAAAACCCAAGCATCACATTTACACTTGGAAATTTGACGGCCGGCTTTTCAACAAATATCTCCTTACCTTACGCAGCTTTCGATCTTATTGGATCGTATCCAATTTTTCCTGTCAAAACTAAATATTTTCCGTTAAGAAGAGCAGCGAATGCTACACAGGTTACGCTTGGACGAACCTTTTTCCAAGAGGCCTATGTCATTGCGGATTACGATCGTGGGAACTTTTCGGTCTCACAGTGTAAGTGGGAAGCAAATTCTCAACAAGCAATTGTTCCTATTCTAGCACCAGCACTTCTCGCTGAAGTTTCTTCGAATCCGAGTGCAGGATCAGGTACCGCAGCGAACGGTACAACTACAAATGAAGAATCAAAGCCTACATCTGCGCCTATTGGCGCAATAGTCGGGGGCGTAATAGGCGGTATCGTCGCCTTAGCAGTAGGGGTATACCTCCTATACCATTTCTGCATCAAACCACGCAGACACGCTGCTGAAGCCGAAACCGCTGCAACGGCTGCAGCTGTCGCTGCCAACGCCACGAAGAAGGAATCTCCTGCCACCCCAGCAGTCGAAGCCAACTCTGAATTTTTCAAGCCCGAACTCGCGGGTGAAGTCCCAGAGCGAAACGAAGTCGATGGAGGGAAGAACCAATGGCATCAGGAAGTCGACGGCGGAAAGAATACATGGCATTCCGAAGTTGACGGTGGAAAGAACCAGTGGCACGCTGAAGTCGATGGTGGAAAGAACCAGTGGCATGTCGAAGCTGATGGACGACCAGTCGAGATTTACGAGATGCCAGCAGAGGAAGTAGCATCAGAATTACGAGGCGAAGGCGGCGTACCGGAGGTTATGGGGAGCACAACACATCCTCGGAGACAATTCTCATACATGCAGACACCGATTCACATGTCACGAAATCCGAACGCAAGGTGGAGCTGGATCACCAGTCCTGGCGGCGAAACGCTACGAGACAGCGAGATTGGCAGTCCCAGCACGACAGTTGGCGGAACAATGAGTTCACAAGATATGAGTCCACAGTCCCAAGCCGCGACGTTGAGTTCGCAGGGCCCGAGTCCGCAATCTCAGAACGCAACGCTGAGTTCACATAACATGAGTCCCGAGAGTCAGAATGCTGCGCTAAGTCCGCAGAGTACGGGTACGATTAGTCCGCAGAGTGCGAGAACCCCAAATCGGGATCTTAGAGATGCGATTGTTAGTCCTCAGAGCGAGACTACGCCGTTTATGAGTGGCAGGTTTTAGGGATAGTAGATAGCATGGCATTTGTATTTATGTAGGTATGGGATTGGCTTGGGGCGCTGTGTATTAGGGGTTTTTTGTATGTTGGATTGGGAATTTATATAAGTTTAATTTTGTATATAAATTCAAAACGTCATTACTATGTATTTTTGGTTTGTTCTGGACAAAGGAGTTCTTGGTTTTTTTCTATAGCCCCCAAAACTACGGAGTAAGAATCTTTCTGAAACGTTCGGCCCCAGACACCAAGGGGCCGAAATGCTACCTCAGCCACCTTTGCGTTTATGCATGTAACCCTACATTTGCCGGGTGGGGTTGCATTGGGTCGATGAGTGCGATTGGGTTGGTGTGGGATCGAGATGTTGCGGATGTGATCGAAGGATTTGGTCGTATATCCGGTCGAGTTGGATGGTGGTGATGTGGTTGAGCGTGAGGGTTGAGAATGAAAAGCTAAAATGATTATTCAGGAATCAGGTGGTTTGGGTAGAGATAGGGCTTGAGAGGAGGAGGTGTTAAGAGAACGACGTTTTTGTTTCGTGTATTGAAGGGCTTTTTACTCGAAGGTAGGATGAGGTTCGTATTGAAAATTGATGATAACGTTTTTGAACTTGAAGCTGGATGTATACAGTTTTTCGTCTAAGTAAATGCTGTAGATTGAATCGCTTCTTGAATTGCTTCATCTATCTATTAGAGAATAGTCTCTTATACCACTTCAGTCAAACATAAGGTATTGAACTTTCCGCCCAGAAATGGACTCACTGATCAGTATCTGTAATAAGGCTAAGCGAGAAGCCTACACTTAGGAACATAGCTTTTAATTACACTTCTTCATGAGCACGATCGATATATACTATCAACTATCTAGTGATAGATTTTCTCGCTTTCAGTCTTCACATGACAACTCCCACCACCTCGCAGATTATTAACACCCTCACAAACCTGAGGTTATTCAAACCTCGCAATCCGCGCCGCATTCTCACCGCACCCCCCTCCAATTCGTCCACTCATACGAGCCTCCGAACCAACCACTCGTTGGCCCATCGACGTGGCACTTTTTGCCGTCTCCGACCGCCTCCCTCTATTGGAAGATATACATCGTACCCCCGTCTCTACGGCCCAGTCTCACGGGTAGAACTCCCATCCCCTCTCATCATTGGCTAAAGCCTCAGCTGCACCGCCCGCAAAGAGGCTCTGGAACATGGATATTATTAGTTTTCCAGAAGCCCATGGGGCACGGGATGGCGATTGTTGAAGAGATGCTGATGCTACATGCCCCTCGGTTGGTGTTACTGTCAGCAGAGCGGCCTTGTGATAGCGATTCTTTTCGCGGTGGTGCGTGGGTTGTTCCTTTCTTCTCAGTCACGATGGAGAATTTTTTGGTTTTACCTGTGGTGTTGAGGAGGTCTTTGCTGGCTTTCGCCTTTTTTGGGATTGCGGGTGCGCAGATGAGTATGTATATTTCTTTGGATTGATTAATTGCAGATTTGCTGACTGCTGTGCCAGCGACCGGAAGCAGTGGGAATGCAACGTCTAATAACACCATTCCTGCGCCGAAAAGGACGTCTGTCGCACCGTTAAATTGCTGTTTTCTGGTCCAGGATACTGTGAGTGAGGTTTGGTGGGAACAGTATTCGACCCGTTCGGCGGTGTCGCTCGTCAATCTTACGTCGTACACTTATTATGTGACGCCAATGCCGACGACGACTGTGACGAGTACGAAGACTGAGGTCATAGAGACGAATGCGACGTTTTATGTAACTGTGGGAAATGGGAGAAATCCTTTGACGTTGTTTGAAAATTCGAGTCCTGGGCCGTATCAAGCGACTTCGAGGTTGTTGGGGATAAATACCACACAGATTGTTACTGCAGGTGTCACAATGTATGTCGCTTCCTTCTACTGTATCATGCAGAAATAGCGGAACGCGAGACTAATAATCATCTAGTCAATCTCCAGCAGCGTATTACATATACTCGACAGTTAAAGTCATCACTGCAGCTCCGATTACTTTAGACGGTCAACTGGCTTGCGGAACGCAGGCTATATATAAACCATACAGCATAACTCTCGACCACGTCAACAGCAATGCAGAATCATACTGGGGGACAAAAGTTCAGCCTTCTTCAAAGATCCCAACCTCCACAGAACTTCTCACAGAAACGGGGACCGTAAACCAACCCGGCACCAAATCGACATATACACAGACTCAAACTTTCACCGAATACTCGACGAAATTCTCAGCATTCCCATCAGGCGTAACGACTATATCGTTCGATCCTTACGTGTACGCCCCTGAGTACGCGAAGACCGGGTTAAGAGGTGTAGGAGAGACGACCTGTGATGATGATGAAGGTCGTAGTGAAGTCCGCTTTGGGTTCTTACCGGAACAGCTACTCAAATACATGGTTGGGGTACCAGAAATCAGTTCTCAGTATCCAGGTCTAGAGTCTTGTTTTGCAGGAGGGCCAGTTATAGTCACACAAACGAAATGTGAAGCTACTGCTGGAGAACTTCAGATCCCGGGAGGTGATTTGACTTCGTCGAAATTCATTACCGTCAATCCAACGGATGGACCTATTACTTCTCAGCAAAGTTCTGCTTCAACTTCTACGACATCCTCGCCGGTTCCAGTGAAGACTTCAGAAACTGTCACTCCCTCAACATCCACGTCTATTTCTACTAAGAAGCAGCCTACTTCAATCAGCTTGACGCCTGTTACAGAGACGGCAACACCTACTCTTGCAACGCCGACTACTCAGTCTACTTCAACATCAGTATCAGAACCTCCTTCCCAGACTACCGCAATAGTCATCCCAATTCCGATCTCCAGCACAATCACCACAACCCCCACAACCACTACAGCCACCACAACATCATCCGATGGATCGATCGCCTCTGCAATCGCCTCTCTAATCGGTATTCCTCCACCCGAGACTCCAACCACCACCACCACAACCGCATCCGTCTCTACTTCAATAACCGTTTCCTCCCAAACTCCCACCAGCAGAAGTACCTCCATCTCCACCTCCGAAATCTCAACCAAGACACTCATCCCACCAAGCACAAGGCCATTCCCGACAGGCTCGATAACACTAGTTTCAGAAGTTATTTCTGTGATTACATCGATGGGATTTCCAATTTCGACATCGACAGGGACTAGTTATTTTTATGCTTCGGTGGTGTCGAGTGCGGTGGGTTCATCGTCGACAAGCTCAGTGGCGACATCAACATCAACCACTTCAACGTTGTCGAGCTCGCCAATTCTCGCACCGCCCGTAGAAACCACAATATCAAGTTCGACTTCATTTTCAAGGTTTACGTTGATCTCCTCGGATTCGCCAATCCTCGCACCACCAGTACCAACAACTTCTTCTACATCCTCGACCACGTCACCAACATCGGCATTTACCATATCAACCTCCACATCAACCTCCCCGATCTCAACATCATCGCCCTCTACCCTCATTTCCTCATCTTCTACCTCCTCCATGACATACGAAATCATAACCCTAACCCCGTTTCAAAACCCACTTCCTACTCCTACCCCACAACGAAGCTCAAATCAACAACCATCTCCAAACCCCGCACCATCTCCTCTTAGTACTATAACAGCCACTCCTCCAACCACCTTTCCTACACCTATTTCAGGTCCAACGAGCCAGCCTGTTGCACCGCTTGCTTCTGCTGGGGGTGTGTTGAGATTTGGGTGGACAATTTGGGGTGTTTGGGCGGTTGTGGTGGGGATGGGTATGGGAGTGTGGTGAGACTTGAAGTGGAGGGTATGGGATATAACAAGGGTGTATGATTAAAAAAAAGGTGGGAGCTGTAAGATTTATTCGGAAGACTTGGATTCAAAAGCATCCATATGTAAAGAAAGATAAATGTATAATGAATTACGAACCACGATAGATAACGAGTCATAAATAAATCATTAAACAAAGTTTATAAACACCGCTATATTCTCCCACCAGTTATTGTCTTTTAGCAAGTCATGATCAAGTTTCTCCAAGTTTAAGTCTTTCACTTTTCATCCTCCTTAAACTACGACTTTTCGCTTAACTTCTAAAATCCTAAAGAAACCTGCCATTGCCCACCATAATTTATCGAATGACACTTATGAGTTCTGATTCTTCTGCGATAATCATTGAGGTGAAATCGGAAACACTTATCGCTTTGTGGATTTTGTCGGCTCAGATTCTGCTCTTTCCAAATCCCGACGCATCCGCCGCCATAACTCGGCGTTCTCTCCTTTCTTATGCACAGCTTTGATGACTTTTTGGTGGTCTTTCGTCATCTGCCCGATTGGTCTTCTAGGGTACCGGAAAGATAGTCGATGTATGTAGGTATAAGCGGTGAAATACGACCAGCAAATAGACAGGCACGAGAGCATGTAGTAGAAAGGATGGCGAAACCGTAATGAAAATGCGAAAGCGATGGAAATAGCGATAATGACTGTTGATATGGGGACTGTTGACGTTAGCCATTCACCAGTCAATTATATCATGTCTTAATCAATCGAATTGATCAGAAGAGCGAACGAGGACTTACAAAGAAAATTGAGTTGCTGTTGTAGAGACATGCTATTTTTACCGTCCGAGGTTTGGAAGTCGCTCGCGTTCATGCCAAAAAGCGAAGACATAAACGATAAAGGAAGAAAGATAATTATCACGATAGTGAAAAGTAGAAATGTTCGATTCTGTTTCATGCCTTCTTGAGCGACTTGGGAGGCATATTGTGCCTCCATAATGCTGGCATGTTGTTGTTTGAGGTTGACATGATCTTTCAACTGTTCTTTCATCAGTCACGGGACAGGAGTCAGAATTTGGATCTGAGATAAAATTGCTCCGTACCTGATGGAGCAAATTGTCCGCTGTGGTTACTAGTTCTTGCAGTTCTTTGCCCCGCTTTGCTATAGTCCGAGCAAGACGTCTGACGTTCAGTAGTGTAAACTCGGACGTCATAATCTGGTTGAAGCTTAGAATAGAGCCACTGCTTTTACTGCGATATGTTCAAACTTACTTTAGAGGCATTGTTTCTGTCCTTCAATTTCTCCATCATCTCGCTTTTGACGGGCTCTTCAAAGACGTGCGTTTCAGTGGTCCTAATTTGATCGTGAATGGCGCTTAGATGTTCCTGGTAATCGCTTGTGACTTGCTCTTGTTGAGTGATTATACGAGCCATCATGCGTAGCTCGTCCAGAATATCATGAAGCCTTTTGGTCAGCAGAACTTCATGGCCAGTCCCGAGTGTTCTCCTAGAAGAAACGTCCAAGTCTGCATATGGGTCTTCGTAGTTGTGTTCTACCCTTTCAACATACGTGTGAAAACCTTCAAGTGTAAGTCGCATCGACTCAGACTACCAAAGAATTAGCACGCAGCCGATCAAGATATATTTTCTATGCTCTTCGACGCAAATAAGCTGTGAGCTGTCAAACATCTTTACAGGAGGTTGAAATAATTTGAAAAATTATCTCATCCAGTAGCGAGTAAGCTCGTTCATAACCATAGCCGGGAAAAAGAAAATGCTTAGGGTGAACGGAAGCTTCTTGGTCACGTATAAAAATACATTGTCTCAACCTCGAGAACGTATGTGTTGATATTCGCAAATTAGTTCTTCAAAGCGGCAGGAAAAAGTCGATGTTCTGTGGACAGAAGGGACCATTTGGTGCAGAAATGAATCAATAAACTTTCCCAGAGGACTTACTATATCGCCAAGAGCAATCGAAAAGATGTTAAGCAATTCTGGTCTTTCATCTGCTTTTCCTCTGTCAAAGAAGACTGCTGAGCACTCATTCATGATTAACAATGCCAAGTCGTGCACTGAGTTGATATGCCCTCTTTGAACATTTTCTAGTACTGAATGTATTGTTGCGTGAACGTTAGAAGAGTCGGAAAGATTGCGACCAGCGCGCTGCGGGAAGAACGTGATAATTGTATCTGACTCGGGTTAGATCAACTTTAATCAAAATTCATTCTTTACTGTCCCTACTCTCGTCTAAGATGTACATCCACTAAACCAGATATTAGCACTATCGGATCTCTTGGGGGAAAAAATTGTAAATGAGGCAATGGCTCTATGAGCAAGCCACCAATTGAAGAAGAAAATTGTGAAAAATTGTGGAAAATGCTTACCAGTTGGTCAACCATGATTACCTTGCCGACTCCTTGATGGCTATAATCATCCGTATCAGTTGCTTTGTGGGTAGTTTGATGTCGGTCAAGATACCCAGTATGAGTACGCTTCCAGTAATAGGACTGGTGGAGAGTTCGTCTTGGGTGTAACGGGGGAATAGCAAACAATTGATCAGAAAGTAAGTGTGTGTCGGCATCAAGGTTAAAAGACCGGTAAAATTTAGCAACGTGTAGAAGGTACTCGCCTAATGGCGATCTAGTGCGGCAGGTTGCTGAGCTTTTACTATGCTGATGCTTCCATTCGTCGATGCGACTATAGTAGAAACTCCAATTGCGTTTTGCCTGGTCGATAAGAAATTGGAATTTTGTTTCCACGTTTCGAATGCCGGGTGGAAACGTATGGTGGTGTCGTGTTGCCAATAAGTCCTCTAGATCATCTAAGTTGCTCTGTATTTCCCAGTGAAGGTAAGGCATCTACGCAGAAAATGTCCCTAATTAGCCAATGTTCTGCATCCAATATGACTTCCGGGGGTAGTAATAGAGTTGTAATTAGACAATCAAGAAAGGTGCCATCAACCAGGACACCGGAAATCTCCTCTTGTGAAACATATTTCTTACAAATATGACGAAGTTATTGCAGCTGTTTTCTGCACGTTGATGGTCTATCTCTGACACTGAGTTAATAAGTGCGCAGTGTGGAAGCATGTGTCTTGAATGAACAGGGTCGTATTTCCCTCCCTCGAATAAGAGAGCAGTCCAGTGCTCCCGGCACAGAAACTTTGAGGCATATTTCCGGTATAGGGGGGGCTTGCTGTCGACGTACTGCCCTCCAGGCTGCTCCTGGTAGTGATTTGCAATTGCTTCCTAAAAGTTAGTTTAGTTGAGGTTGAATACAAGGAAAAGTGCCCAAACCTCGACCCGATGCATACTGTTATGAGGGAAGTGAAAGTAACGCAGGTCATTTTTAGATTTTCCACTTTCCAGTCGGCGAAGTGGGTTGTCTTCATCGTCATACAGTATTTTTTCGAGTGGATGCTTTTTTGTGCTGAATAAGACAAATGAATCTTGGCTAGATCCCCGAACGAAATTGATTTCAGGAACAACCATTCCATATCCAGGCCGCTTAGCCCGGCAGCTTTCTCGAAAATCGACTTCTGTTGTATTTAGCTTCGCTCCTCGGTCCATCATGTCTTCAGATAAGATGGAACTTTGTCTTTACCTTCGCGAAAAACTTCGTGTGAATCTCTCGAAGACGTGTCGCTTCCAGGGGTTCTTGTGGGGTGGGGATGTGGTTCAACATCCCATTCTTTGACCTTCTGTAGGATTGAAAGTTCCCAGATTTCCCTGCGGGTTCTACACGCACGAGGTAGGTGCCTCATCACCCTCACTCTATAGGACACACTACTAATTTGATCCTGACAGTTTGCTTTTGCTGCGCGTCGCCATCCGGCTCGAAGTTCGGCGAGCAGCTTTTCATACGGCTCGTTCTCCTTTCTGGACGAATATGCTGCTCTCAGCCTCCCAATTTTATCAGTTTCTTGAAGGATCTCAGTACGAACGGTCTCTTTCAGTCCTTCCAAACATTTTGCTCGTTGTTCAAAGCGAGTACCAAAATATCTGACAAGATCATACTCTTTTATATACGGCCGAGTCACAGATTCGTAAAAATCTTCTCCATCGGGACTACCTTCATTAGGAACTCTAGATTCGCCAACAGGAAAGAATTCCCGAGACATCACAACAACAACACTGACACACTCTGATGGTATGCGTTAATCTGAATAGGTGGAGCTGCGATGGTGTGAAAAAATGTAAAAAGCTTAATAGCGATGAACAAAAACTTGTGATGACAGGCTGTCTGGCTTACTCGCAATTCTTTAAATGAAGGGTGCTGAGCTGAGGCTAGGGACATTGTGCTGGACAAAAATGCAATGTAACCTCGCACAGAATGAGCGGCAGAGATACAGCGAATCAATCGAACGGTTGCAAGCCCCTCTGGGTTGAAATATTGCAAGTCCTATCAGCTAAACTCAGCCCCAAATAAGTTACAGTGTGTAAGTTTTAACTCCCGCCGCGTGGAAAGAACGCCTGATTTCTGAACGAATTGCACGTCTACCGTGGAGGGTCCGTAGATCATACTGTTGATACTTATCTCTGATAAGACCAATGTCCTTTGACAACCGTGACTGAGTTTTCGGTATTCAGAATGGTTCTGGTTGTCCGTTCTTCCATACAATGAATGTTGTGTCGATAATAGGTTATTTGATAAAATCATTCAGTGGAAGGCATCTATCAGCAAAGACACGAAGGAGCTAAGCCGATATAGTGTTAACAAGATGCATTTATCACCTAACGATAAACCCTATCCTCGTCCACCCCCTCAAACATACCACCTTTCAAAACTCTACTCGGACTCCTCTGCGGAATCTCCGGTCGATGACTCTTCGTTACAGGCGGCGGAGTTGGAAACCTGTCCCCCACATCCTCCGCATGAGTAGGCAAGTTGTGGGTTTGCAGCCCAAGTGGAGTACTACTACTTGACTGACTAATCCCAGAATTCCTCTGCGTCGTATATCTATTCGAACTAGCATCTTTCTGTATGCGATATCTATTTGCGTATAATGGATCGCCAGTGGGTCCTTCGTATGTGAGTTCAGTCACTGGACCGTTCCATGCCTGTGCTTCTGAGACTCTTCGGATCTGTTTCTTCTTTCTGTGTCGTATGCAGAGGAATATAATGGAAGCAATAAGGAGAAGTCCGGCGACACCTGCGCCGACAGCGATACCAATTGTTCTGCCGGTGTTTGAAGAGCCCTTTGCGGATTTGGCTGCTACGAGAGGGGTAGGATCGGAGGCTGACGTGGCAGCGGGAGTATCTGAAGAAGTCGTTGGTGCTGGAGTGTTCGTGGCGCTGCTCGGGGGCGGACCGGCAGTATTCGTAGTATTGAGAACGCTGTATCCCAAAAACATATTAGCTGAGTCCATGTTGAAGAAATGCCAATATCATATCTCTGATTTACATACCTGTCAATTACATGCACCACACCATTCGAGATAATGTAATCAGTTGAAAGTACTTTGGCTGAGTTTACATATGTCTGGCCATCTTGGACATGGACGGTAAGATTGATTCCATTCGAAGCTTTCAAAGACAGTCCATCTTTCAACATCGGACTATATCCTATGTAATTTGGAATTACATGATAGAGGAAAGCGGTTTGTAAGTACGACGGACTTGCGGTTTTCACTATCTCGCTGAAATTGGAAAGAGCATCGGGCTACACCAACAGTCAGATAACCACGAAAACCAGCGATAAAAGATAAAAACTTACCGAATTAGGAATAAAAAACGTTATGTTTGGTTGATAAACCACAGGATTAACATAATTGGCACCGGTGGTGAGAAAATTGCCTTTAGCGAGGATAGCAATGAAGTACTCCATCCCAGCTGCAGTTATTTCATCGACCGCTTTATAAGGAATCGTGAGCATCTCGTCCATTATGTGGACAAACCCTCCCACGCATACTTTCTGTTAGATCTCAACGTTAGAATCGGTACGCTAGTAGATTAAAGATAGCAGACTGAAAGGATCGCTGGGATAATTACCGTTTCCGAAGAAGTGCTAACACTTTTATTTCCACTCAACGCCTGTATTTTCCCCGAATTATCCAGCGACAGTCCAACCGCCTGTCCGCCAGTGACATTGGCGTAGGTCGAATTGATGAGATGACTAGGCACGAATTGGTTCGCGGTTGACAAGCTCAGCTTGGGAAATGCACCACGAAGAAGCGAATATTCCAGCATTGCGGTAAATTGATCGTCGGTCATATTCGACTGTCCAACCGGCAACTTTGCGAATGCATCATTGCTAGGCGCGAGCAGTGTGAAGTCACTGCTGCTTGCCAGAAAGTTGGTGAGATTCTTCGAGGCATTGACACGCGCGTAGAACGTGCTGAGTTGAGGAGAGCCTTGTAGAAGTTCCAGAAGACTGAGAGCCGTGGTATTCGTGATGAGGAGCGTCAGCCATAGTAACCTATACACTGGCAAAACACGGAAACCCTCGAATATCGACATCGCGAATCGCACGTCTTTGGGCACGACGACTTCGATTACCAGAGAAGAAGAAGAGAGCAACGAAGACGGGATTTTATGAACACCATGTTATCCATTCCCCCGCACACCCCCAATATGCAAGCTGGACTGCAGCATAAGCCAATTGATCCTTGCAAATAGTGGCAGATCATGAACTGTGGCGGGTGTCCAGACTCCAGAGCCGGGTAATTATATCAATAGCGGAATATTGATCCTAAATGGGTGCATCGTCCGAGCGAAAGGATGGGGTCAAGTGGCAAGTGGTCCCGAGCTGGCTCGTGGCTGCAGGACCCTGCGATCAGGAAATATCTCTCCTCAGAACGTCTAATCTCGCCATTTGAGACACATTTTGTTTGAAACGCACCGAGTTAGGTTACTGTTGCATTCTACAGAGTCTGAGGGTCGATATCATAGACTCGGACACTATGACTTTTGATGTTCAAAGTTGGCATTATTGATACGATTCACGACGTGCATAAAGCGTGTGCAACGTATGCTGCATACATCTTTCAGCGCATCCACCTTCGATAACGACGCCAATCAAAGCTAGAGCGGTGTCCAATAGGAAAAGACGACAGATGCGTTTCAGAATCGACAGCAAGTCATCTGGATGCCGTGAAACTATACTAGCTCAATACTCTACGCATCTTATTTGCCAAAAACATTTAAATAGGCAGGCAATCATAGATCGCCCTAAGGCACATCATGAACACTTTACACCTCCCCGTTTAGGCAGGAGTGAGAGTAACAAGCAATTCAGGCGAATAGCGGTAAGTTGATGGGTGGCAGCCATAAGCATTTTCATAGACTGCCTGAAATACTATCTTCAAGTGGCCAACAGTTGGCTGATGGAGTGTTGGTGTTGTCAATCTGGCACTGGCATCCCTCTTCCCCCACCCCTGAAATTTAGCGAGTCGCTTAATTTCCACGATCTCCTCGATGCTCACCTCGACAGTTGCCAATGACTTCGTTCTTACTTCTTCTCTAATTACCCAGCCTGTATCTTGCCTACTTACATTATGTTGTACTCAGTATCTGCATTCTAAAGGACCATCAAAGTGAGGCGTCTACAAAGACGGGAAGATTAACATATCGTCATGAGACAAGGTTTCGATTTGATATTTGAGGCAAACTTTTCAACCTATTTTGTTACTGTCTAAATCAACAAACAAAAACATAATAATTCTCCATAGCGGAGACCAGGCGCATGCACCATCTTTGTCCAAATTACACTATATTCTATCTTAGTCACAGCTCTTAGTCACAGCTTCAACCAAATTTTCAAATGTCTCTGAACTAACTTGGATTCTAGCACACACACACATTCCAGAAATTCTCAGTAGACTTCAAGTGCAATTATCTATTCACCTCTCTCAGCCCTTCAAATACAAGTTTCATCCGCAACCTGCCCCATCTATCATTCCACAGCCATACCCCAAACCCTAAACTTCCCAAATCCACAAAACTCATCAGCCCACCTCTCCAAATCCCACTCTGAGTGCTTAAAATCCTTAAACTCCATCTTCCCAAAGAATCCATGAACCTGCGGTTCAGACCCGACTGTCAACGCCAACCCCCTATCCTTAGCAGCCTCAACACATAGCCTAACAAGTTCCTTTCCCAACCCGTGAGCGCGATGTTCTCGCAAGATAAATATGTGCGTTAATTCTACGTGGATGTAAGCTCGCAATTCTAAAAGGCCAAGGAAAGAACCATACTCACGCAAATGTCTAACACCACCCCAATCCTCCCACAAGTCCGTCATACTATCAACCACCATCTCATAAACCCCCGGATGCATTCCGTCCGGCACCTCTCCGCCACCTCCCACATCTTTTTGCCCAGCATCACCATAAAATTTCATCGCAACGTGACCCACCATCTCGCCACTTTCCTTGTGTACAACCTTCCAACTCTGCACATCTTTACATTGCATGGAATTTTCCACCGCCTTTCGACATTGCGCTCTTTGCGCTGCTTCATTCGGCCAGTTCTGATACAGGAGTCGGTTAACGGTAAGCGATTGTTTGGAGAGCCAGACGAGATGGGTCATAGTGTCGAGATCGGGGGGAGTGAGGGGAAGGATGGTGTAGGCTTCCATTTTTGAAAACTAGTATGGATGTAGACTGATACGATGTGGACTACTGAAATGAAAGATAATCATGTTGGAAAGAGCAAACGTCGATATAAAAGTAAGATCAGAAAAGGCTGCTAAATTGATGCCTATATAAAACGTCACCCAACTTTCTTGGCATTGTTTTCTAACATCGCAAGAATGGGACTTCTACCCACCAAAATCCCCAGATAAATAGGCTTCTACATAGCGGTAAGAGAAAACGCCATCAATCACACCATACAGAAAAGAAATTCCTCAGTTCACTACTTTGAAATCGGGATCGGAATGTCAGGGTTTTATAAGCTTCATTATAAGGTAAGCATATCACGAACTAGAATGAAATTAGCGAAACAATCTCAACTCTCCAAGTTCTTTTCAAAATCTGACCCAGCTGCTTATTTCTATGTAACCATTTACGAAACCCCATCTCTATTGAGCTGACATTTGATTCCTGAACACCTCTTCGCTTTACTGCATCGGCCGCGGCGTAACGTGTGTAAAAAAGCAACGAAACAAAGTTTTTCTTTAGAGTAGGTTTATTCTGCAGTCAACTACTCCTGGCTCATAAACCTAAAACTCAATAATCACAATACGACTCTGACGTATTTCTTTTCTTGATCCATAACTGTGTTTATGGTGATATTTACAAATTCAAATCCCCAAAAGTTTAATAGATGTGCAACAGTATCAAGAAAATGTGTGTAGCTACAACTATTTCAGCATTTCAAATAAGGATTAATCACATGGGTATTTTGTATCAAACAGCAAGATGGAGAAAAACTAGCTAAACTAACCAATGTATGACTCAACATCAAACACATCCCTCAAAACCATGCCTCCCTACTAGGTTTCCCACATTCATCATCCCTCACATCCACCATCTTCTACACATCTCATGAAGACGAGAGTTCTTGTCCTCATTATCATTAGTACACCCCTAATCAACCCCTCTATACCTCTATCCAACACCGTCTTCGACGCGCAACGTGTCTTCAGCATTTACTTACTCATTATTTATACCATTTATTGTTATTCATCGCTTCCAAGAGAGAATTGCTCGCTTTTCGAATATAGATAAGTTAGTACATGGCAAATAACACTATAGATACCTCTTCTGCATAGTATCCAAGACAAAAAATAAATTACTTTTTAAACATAATATTAAGATATCTGTAGAATAGTCCTCGCCGATACAATACTGTATAGTAATTGAGGTATCGTTACCGTAAAAGCATTAAATGAAGAAGTACGATATATATAGGGAATGAATGCTCGAGGAAGAATAGGATTAAGGGATTTAGTAACACGGTTCGTGGTTCTTTACCGAGACTAAAATAACATAAAAGGCATTTGAGCCTAGGGGTGTCGATTTACAATATAAACGACTCTGCTTCATGAAAAAGCCGTGATGAGTCAGCGGGGTATTCGTTCAACGAACATCTTGTCGATAGTGAGGGTATTTAAGTTCCAGCTACTGATCCGAATTGTGTGGAAAATATAGACTTTGCATAAACCACCTTATGTTAAAGGGGTTTGCCCGACTTTTTAAAGCTTAGTTATAGGAAAAACTCAATGTATGGAACATATTATAGTCATATAAAGATTATTTTTTAACCCTGATATATCTGATTAATAAATAAAAGCCCCTCATAGACATCGGCACCATCTCACTGCCCCTGAAAAAAGAAACAAACAAGAAGCGAAGTTGGTCAGAAAACTCACGTACGTTTACTACGTGAAACGGCAATAACCTGTCCATATCTCCGTCCTTAATTCCAAGTCCTTAAACTCCAACTGCTCTCCATAAGCACTTCGCTTTCCCATCCATAACCCGTTCTCAATCCCATTCCCCTTCATCCCAATCATGAACTCCTCCATCATCAAAAACATCTACACCTACCCCATCCCAACATTTGTAGAAAACATCCACCTCCTCCTCACAGGCAGCCTCCTCCTAACAACCTTCTCCTCGGGCTCTCTCCTCATCCTAGACTCCTCCTCGGTCTCCCCTCTCCCAAAACCTCTCATCACCCTCCCCAACGCAACCGGGCTCACCGGAATCGCTCGCGTAGGCGAAGATACCTATGCCGTGAGCGGGGGAAACCACACGCATTTCGCGTTCGAGATCGATAGCATGTTCGTTTATATCGTCAGAATCGGCGCGGATGAGGTAGGAGAGCTGGTCGACATGATCCCTGTCCCGGTTGTCAGGATGATGAATGGAATGGCCTCGCTCCCTTCGTCGCCGCATATAATACTCAGCGCCGACTCGCTCGCCGGGACGATAATACGTGTAGACACGCGCACGCGGTCTATCGCCACTTTAATCTCCGACCCCGCGCTCGGTCCCGGCAACTCATCTGTACCTCTCGGCATCAACGGGCTGAAAATCCGGGACGGGTATTGTTATTTCACCAATTCAGCGTTGGGAACCTTTAGTCGGTATGCCATAGATGAGGAGACGGGGGAGAAGAGAGGAGAGATAGTGGTGATTGCGAGACTGGAGGGGCAGGTTGGAATGGGGAATGCGTATGATGATTTTGATGTTGATGGGGAGGGGAATGCATGGCTGGCGGTGCATGATCGGAGTGTGCAGAAGGTGTCGGTGGATGGGACCACGACGATGGTCAGGGGAGGAGAGGGAGTGGTATTTAGGGCTCCGACGGCGGTGGTGATGGCGGGGGATGGGAAGAGTTTCTTTTTGAGTACTGGGGGCGGAGTTGTGAATGGTGTTGAGTATGGTGGACAGGTTTGGAGTGTTGAGTGTTGGTAAGAAAAATTCAAACATTGTATTGTTTGATCCAAATAAACAGGGAGAGTTATAAAAATCACTGATCTAGCGGCTATGTTATTGAAGTGACTTGTGAGAGGGAGTTGAGAAGAGTCGCTTAACGTGAATATTCAACAGACGAGTATTTGCTAAAGACCACTAGAACAAAAAACACAATAAAAGAGATCCAACGATCTCAATCGGTTTCAAATTCAATTCTCAATAGTCTCTGTTAAAGCCAACATATGTTTCAGTAGCTAAAAATACGACTAAGGATAAACCCTCTCCCCAAAAACACAAAATACGCAAGGAAAAGGCAGATGTCAACCACTAGGTTGATTACTCAAATATTGCACGTGTACAATACAAAAGGGCTTACCGGATGACTCTTCCGCTCAAGCCACAACACAAAAAGCCGTGAGGTAAAGACAAGCGCTTCGGTGGCGGAATAGCCAAACCATCTTAGGCATCTTAGCTCCGAATCGCTCGCTTGAGGCTCTGCTGGCTAAGTACCGAGTACTCAAATCATAATAGATAAAATCATGACTAACGTAAAAGGATGCTCAGGTCGGATAATACATGAAATATGCTTTAGACTCAAGAATCGGGATACTGGCTTTGGATTCATGAGGAGTTGTCCCTCAATGAAGCCCGATCTCGAAAACGATTGACACTTCCTGTCCACATACTCTTCCAACAATCCTAGGAGCACTTGCTCAGTGGAACCCCCTTCACATTTGCAGCTTCGTACTTCTGACATGTACTCTGACAAGGTGCAATGCTGTTCTTATAGGTCTGGCCTTTTGTCCAATTCACAATCGTGGATTAAAGAGCTGGCCTGCCTCATGCAATAGAAATTTCTGAAAACATGTCTGGCCAACTATAGTCCTTCACGTGGCACAGAAAAGCCGACCAAATCGGACGACTCCTATGCGACTAAGGTGTATGGCAACGAGTATGCATATTTTCCTCCAGCTGCCACTAATGTTGTAGTCGAGAAGCCTTAGGTTAACAATGCAACTCAGTGCTACCAAATAATTGGTAGGTTCAGCGTTGCTCTTTGCCAACAAAGAAAAATCAAGGGCGCGGGAAGGCCTCCTGCACTGCAGACGGCGTAAATGCCTCAAGAAGTTGAGCGCGTGACCTACAAAGCTATGGCGTGGGGGTGAGGCTGGTGATCTTTGTCAGACAGAGGATTGGTGATTAGAAGGGTATGTGTATATGGTGCTTAGTACCTTGATGCTTTGGGAGAGTCAGTTTGTAACTCAAAAGGATTTGCCACTTTTGAAAGAGCCCAACTTGCTATGAGTACGCGACATTTACTTCTCGAAGGAAAACGGGCAACATCAATGCTTCCGAGTTTGGCTCTCTTGATTGGCCATAGCTATTGTTAGTAAAGAGGCTTGATGGAACCCCACGATCGTGTTACATCGAAGAAGCTGCATTGCCTAGGTACGTACAGCGAAAACTGCAACTCGCAATTTTTCGAATAAGCGAATCAGTCTTCTGGACATGAGAGCTTGACTTGCTGCATGGCGTTCCTGACTTGTCACGCTCTGGGATGATAGAGCTCTCAAATTGGCGGACGTTTCCTTGCATTCCACCTCAAGAGCATATACTGCATTTGGAATTGGTGGGGTTGTGTAACTGAAAAGCCAGACGGGGCGGATGCAATATGGCAAGGCTGGATTGAGTTTGACGTCAAACAAACGCCCTACAGTGCCGCTCCAAGTGCCCCCTGTCTTTCGGGCATCACAAAACAATGAGGCTCAGGGTTGGTAACATTGGTATCTGCAAAACCAGACGTGGTAGATATCTTAGGCAAAGCTTATCAAAGGGGAAGAAAGTAGCGTAACGAAGTGAGGATCCATGCGTGTTAGACGAAAAGGAAGCTGTGAGGTTCAATCATGTGTGCCGACTTTACTCCATCTATTGAGCTTTGGGTTGATCTGGAGGCTCCAACTTTAGGGCTGGCATTGCAATGACCAATTATCGAATATGAACCCCCGCTCGTACACCGTAATTTGAACCCATGCGGGTTTGAGGCGCTGCTCAAGCTTTAAGGCGCCGTGTCGTCCAGAAGCTTGACGCGGGATGGTTGTGTTCTTTCTCGTGTCCACTCAATGGCAGGATGGAATGTCCACCGCTTCTCAATGATGCTACGTGAGCGATAGACCACAGCTCACAAGTCTTAACCTTGATTCTGTATGTGGTGGGGAGAGCCAAGGGGAAACTTCGAGTATAACTGCCTTGTGCCTGGTGAACTCTCGAGCCTTTGTAGATCGCGGTAACGTGTGATACGGTGACACTTTCATGGTACGCATATTTATGGCGATAGGCTCCATACCGTTCACCTTACGGTCTGGTCAGCCGAGCATGCTCTGAAAGCAACGACATGCGTGTGTAGCGGTGACGACTGTCTTGTTGCTGTATGGTTTTGCTGGCTTGCTTTTGCACATATCGTGGAGCTTCTGAATCTTGTCGGAGCTAGGCCAGTCATTGGAATGAGACGGATCTCGGGAAAGAACAAAGGTATAATCATACACTGGATTAAGCAATTGGGTGGATGCTGTTGCTGTTCGACGCAAGGTCAACAACTGGGTTGTGGAAGGACACTCATCAGCCGGTCACCGTAGCAAACCGATTGAATGAAGGCTCTTGGCAGATGACCACCTCTTGGGAATCCTCCCACCTCAACGTGACTATTGTGAAAATGCTGACAACCTGGCAATCTGGTATTGTCCTATTATCCGTCGCGAGGAATACACA